GGGTTTACGCCATTCTCCTCCCTCAGCCTCCCGAGTAGCTGGGACTACAGGCGCCTGCCACCATGCCCGGCTAATTTTTTGTATTTTTAGTAGAGACGGGGTTTCACTGTGTTAGCCAGGATGGTCTCGATCTCCTGACCTCGTGATCCGCCCATCTCGGCCTCCCAAAGTGCTGGGATTACAAGCTTGAGCCACCGCGCCTGGCCTTATTTTTGTTTTTTAGTAGAGACGTGGTCTCACTTTGTTGCCCAGGCTGGAGTGCAGTGGCATGATCTCAGCTAACTGCAACCTCCGCCTCCTGGGTTCAAGCAATTCTCCTGTCTCAACTTCTGGAGTAGCTGGGATTACAAGTGCGTACTACCCACCTGGCTATTTTTTGTGTGTGTGCGTTTTTAGTAGAGACGGGGTTTCACCATGTTGGCTAGGCTGGTCTCGAACTCCTGACCTCGTGATCCACCCACCTCGGCCTCCCAAAGTGCTGGGATTATAGGCATGAGCCACCACGCCCAGCCAGTATTAGGCATTTTTGTGGATATATTGTGGTATCTCATTGTGGTTTTAACTTGAATTTCTCCACTAATGAAGATAACACCTTTTCATATAGTTTTCAATTTTTATTTACATAGCCACACATGAATATATCCTTGTTACATATAATACATGAATAGAAATAATACATATAGAGCTCAAGTTCCTCTAAAACGAATCCCTTCACTAGTTTTGTTTTTAATTAAAAAAAAATGTTTTTGTAGCAATGGGGTCTTGCTTTGTTGCCCAGGCTGGTCTTGAACTCCTGGCCTCAAGCAATCCTGCCACTTCAGCTTCCTGAAGTGCTGGGATTACAGGTGTGAGCCACCATGCCCAGCCCCTTCCCGAGTTTTGAGCACTGGGCTTGGAGTTAAGAGACCTGAATTCTAGCCTTGGTCTGCCACTGATGAGCTTGCTGTCTGATTTTGGACAGTCACCTCTCTGGGTCTGTCTCCCCATCTATAAAATCAGAGTGTTTAGCCAGATAGTCTCTAAGGATCTTTTTTCTTTAATATTCTGACCACTGTTTCTGTGATCCCAAGAACCTCCATTAGGTAGAAACGGCCATTTGCCCCACCATCCATTCTCTCCATTTTCCTTAGTAACTCTGGAGTTTTAGTTGAGCATATGCCTGGCCCACTAGACTATTTCCAGCCTCCCTTACAACCGGGCATGACCGTGTGACTAATTTGAGACAAGGGTGTGTAGACAGAAATGATGTGTGCAACTTCTGGGTCATGACTTTATAAAGAAGGGCCACGCCTTCCACTTGTTCTTCTCTTCCCGCTGGCTGAAAAGAGGACTTGATGATGGGAACTGGCCCAGCCATTTTTTTTTGTTTTGTTTTTGCAATAGGGTCTCACTCTGTTTCCCATACTAGAGCGCAGGGGCGCAATCACGACTCACTGCATCTTTGACCCCCTGAGTAACTGGGACTATAGGCATGTGCTACCATACCCAGATAGTTTTGTTATTTTTTGTAGAGATGTGGTTTCCTTATGTTGCCCAAGCTAGTCTCAAACTCCTGGACTCGAGTGATCCACCCATGTCAGCCTCCCAGTGTTGGGATTACAGGTGCGAGCCACTGTGCCCAGCACCAGCCATCTTTATTCATGAGATGGAGGGCAAGACGTGTTGACGATGACAGAACGAGGCAAGAGCTGAGACCCTCTCACAACATATCACTGACATATCAGCCCTGGATTGCTTAGAAGTAAATTTGCATCTCAAGCTATCAGTATTTTGGCTTTTGTTACATCCACTGAACCTGAATCCTGATTAATACAGAGTGATGGAGAATGACCTTTTCTTTTCTTTTTTTTTTTTTTTTTTTGAGACAGAGTCTGATTCTGTTGCCTAGGATGGAGTGCAGTGGCATAATCTCAGCTCACTGTGACCTCTGAGTCCTGGGTTCAAGCCATTCTCCTGCCTCAGCCTCCTAAGTAGCTGGGATTACAGGCACCTGCCACCATGCCTGGCTAATTTTTTGTAGTTTTAGTAGAGATGGGGTTTCGCCATGTTGGCCAGGCTGGTCTTGAATTCCTGACCTCAAGTGATCTGCCTGCCTTGGCCTCCCAAAGTGCTGGGATTACAGGTGTGAGCCACCACACCCAGCCACAAGAATGACTTTAGATTGGGTGTTGGGTCAGGTTTCTCGGAGGAAGGGACGCTTTGAGCTGAGATCTTAACGAGAGAGACAGCCATATAGATTTAAGGGAAAAGCATTCCAGGCCAAGGAGGCCACTGGTGCAAAAGCTCAGTCCAAGACAGCATTCTGTATAATGAGGCCTACCTGGTCTCCCATCTCCCATCCCATTGTTTAGTGACTGAGCCGAGTGGACCATGTGACCTGAACAGGCCCAGTCAGAGCCCTCCAGAGATTTGCTATGTGAGTGATGGGACAGGAAGGCACTTTCTCTGGGATTACAAATCTTAACGACTATTTAAGCCTAGAGTTATTGAGGATCATGTTGCTGGCAAGTGTCAAAAATCCACCTGAGTATAAAGCTGGGGAAAACACAGATAAGAGCTAGAAAGGGACAGAGTCCTCCATGGGGTTTGACCCTGGGTCCAACCACACCTGTCCTTATCTCAATCTAGTTATGAAAACCAATCATGTCCTTCTTCACTACTGAACTGGATTTCCATCACTTGCAACCAAGTAGGTGCCTGGTCTCCTTGGTCTCCCCCTATAACTGGAACTAACTGCAGATGGTCGCCGAATTATGATCATTCAACTCACGATTTTTGACTTTGCAACGGTATAAAACAAGACATTCAGTAGAAACTGTACTTCAAATACTGAATTTTGATTCAAAATTCTTTATAACTTTATTACAATATAGATTTTGTGTTGGATAGTTTTGGCCACTGTAGGCTAATGTAAGTGTTCTGAGCATATTTAAGGCAGGCTAAGCTAAGCTATGATGTTTGGTAGGTTAAATGCATTTTTGACTTATGATCATATTTTCAACTTATGATGGGTTTATCAGGATGCAAACCCATCACATAAGTGGAGGGGTATCTCTATAACATTGTAAGACCCATACTTTTGTTGCTGATTACTGGGAGGTAGTATGGCACAGTGGTTAGGGGCAGAGGCCTTGGAGTTGGACTACATGGGTTCAGATCCCAGCTTGGCTGTTTTCTGGGTGGTTCTAACCCAGTTCTGCCACAAACTTGTTGAGTGGCCTTAGGTGAGTCCCATAAGCTCTCTAGATATAGCTTCCTCATTGCAAAATGTCTCAAGCTAAGTTTAGTATTCTCCCTCCACCCTGACCCTGCTTCTGTTCCTCTTCCAGGCTGCCCCAGCTCAGTAAATGGCCCATCAGCCACCCAGAAGATCAAGTCAGATTCATCCCTCACATCTAATCTACCTTCTAAACACATCCACAATCCATTCCCCTTTTTCCATCCCCACTGTCCCCGCTCCAGTCCATGCCATCAAGACTTTTCATTTCCACTTTGCCACAGGGCTGTTAAAATACTTTTACAAACTGCAAAATTTGATTGAGTCACTCTGAAAAGGTGAATGTGGCCCTTGATCTCTGCATGGTTTGGTCCTGGTCTGTCTCCACTCAGTTCAGGCCATCCTCTCAGTGCTCCAGACAGGCTAGCCTTGCATTCCTCCAGCTAGGAGCCCCAGGGCCTTTGCACAACTCCTCCCTCTCCCTGTAACGTTCTTCTCCAATTATGTCTTAGTTTGATGGCTCACCCTTCAGGTCTAGGCTCAAATGTCAGTACTTCAGGGAAGTATTTTCTGATCCTTCAAAGCAGGTCAAGTCCTGGTGACTTCCTTCACAGCACCTGTCACCACATCACCGGTGCATGTCTGCCTCCTTCCCAACTACCGTTTCAAGAGAGGCCCCTGCCCTGTTGTTCTCTGTCTCAGACCCCTTATTTCCTTCAGAGCACTTATCACAAATTTGTAACTGCTTTATTTCTTTGTTTTCTTCTTAGCTGTCGCCCCTATTCTCTTTGTATAATTTTTTTTTTTTTTTTTTTTTTTTGAGACGGAGTCTCACTCTGTCGCCCAGGCCGGAGTGCAGTGGCCAGATCTCAGCTCACTGCAAGCTCCGCCTCCCGGGTTCAAGCGATTCTCCTGCCTCAGCCTCCCGAGTAGCCGGGACTACAGGTGCCTGCCGCCTCGCCCGGCTAGTTTTTTGTATTTTTTAGTAGAGACGGGGTTTCACCGTGTTAGCCAGGATGGTCTCGATCTCCTGACCTCGTGATCCGCCCGTCTCAGCCTCCCAAAGTGCAGGGATTACAGGCTTGAGCCACCGCACCCGGCCTCTTTGTATAATTTCTATGAAGAGACAAGCTGAGGTCTGTCCTGCTGTATTCCCAGGACCCAGCACTGAACCTAGGAACAGAGCAGAGATTCTCAAAAAGTATCTCTTGAATAAAAAGTATTTGTGGTGGTGGCATCTCCAGCAGTCAGGAACTCCCTCTTTGCCTCTGAGTTTTGATCCTCAGGCAGTATTTCTGCTGCTTAATGAGTAATTCTTCTTTGGGTTTATGGTTCAGAGTAGAACAGGAGACCTCAGGCAGCCTGGCAACCTCTGGCCTGTGTGGGAAATGCCTTCCAGTAGAGTTGCAGCAAATTTCAACTCTAACCCAGGGATATCGATCTAGGCCTCATTCCCATACCCAGCTCTGCTGCCAGAAGCGCTCCAAGGCTTCTCAGGCCCCGAGATCCCTCTGCTCTCCTCTTCCCCTAATGCTCCAAGACTCTCTCCCAGCCATGCCCCAAAGCCTGTGCCCCGATTCCAGGTTGCTTTCAAGCTGAAGCCACACCAGAGGAAAGAGCTGAGGGTGGCAAAGGTGAGCCTCATGGCTGACCCAGGCGAGGGGCGGGGAAGCTTGGGAGAGCTCATAGGATGCAGCTGCGAGTTACAAGCGTCAGCATGCTGGCAAAACCACCCAGGGCTGCTGGGCCCCGCCAGCATGTGAGCAGGAAGAGGGCACGAGGGCACAGTTCTAAAAGCAGGATTTACTTTGGTTTTCACTTCTCTGAGGCCCCGGGAACATTTTAAAGTTCTAGTTCTCAGGCCTGCACTGTCTCCGTCATTCCTTCTTCAGCCACTGCAGCAGCTGGGGTGTGTAGTAGGTGATGATGATGTCAGCACCTGTGTTGGGAGAGATGTGGAAAGTTGCGGGGGACGGTGATCAGCTCTGAGCACACCTTCTGGGATGGGAAGGACAGGTGGGGAAGAAGGCTACCATGAAGAGGCACAGCCTGTGGGCACACCACATGAGACAGAGTCCAGCTTTGGGCAGCTCTATTTCTTGGGCAAGTCATTTTCTCTCTTGGGACCTCAGTTTACCAAAGAATAATATGCACAGTGAAGGATATAGGTAAGATGCAAGTTCCCTTCCTGTGCTGGTGTACAGTTGTAACAAAATGAGCCCCCTTTATGGAGTGATATTACTTCATTTAATCCTCAGGACAACCACGCACCAGGTATCTTGTCCCCAGTTATCCAGTTATGGGTGAGGACACTGAGGTTCTAAGAAGTGGCTTGCCCACGTTCTCACAACCAAAAATGAATGAAGGGCTCTGCTTGCTTCACCATGTCGTGTTCTATGCTGCAGTTCCAAATCTCTTCCTCAACGTGTGTCTGTTTAGATCACTAGTAATTCCCGAAATAAGACTCCAAGCTCTCAGGACTTCGTTCCTTGATCTAGGCAGAGTGCTTATCAGTCCCTGTGGCACAGGTCAAAACACCCAACCCCTGCCTGCCTACCTGCTCTGCGGAAGGCAGTCATGGCCTCCAGTACGGCAGCCTTGAGATCAAATGCCCCAGCCTGGGCTCCGTGCCACAGCATGGCAAACTCTCCAGAGACATGGTACACGGCGAGAGGGAGGTCGGGGTGCTGCAGGGAAGCAGACAGGGAGACAGGCTGAAATGGAGGGTTAATGTGGCTCTGGGAGCGTCCCTTCCCCCCTGCTCAATCTGTGACCATCTTGAGCCCCGTGTCCTGGGTTACTGCAGCCAGCAGCCTGGCCCACTCTTGAACTGTTAAAGCAGGGCTGTTTGAGGCTCCTGCAAGCCCTGACACAGAAGGCCATGGTGGTTGCTGGGCAGGGATGGGGAGGAGAGGATTTCTGCTCAAGGGCAGACTGCTTCCAACACTGAGATGCCAGAGTCTGTGGCAAACTCTGTCCCAGCCCTCTGAGCCCCCTTTGCCTCGGACCTGCGCTCACCTTGTCCTTTACCTCCCGCACGATGTCTAGGTAGGGCATTCCCGGCTTCACCATGAGTACGTCAGCTCCTTCCCGTACATCCCGGTCCTAAGAGATGAGGGTCGAGTGTGGGCGGTGTCTGGGAGGGGCTGAGGGTGGGGCTCAAGTCCTAGTGACTCACCACAGCTCGGAGGGCCAGGCCTCGTGCTCCAGGGGGCAGCTGGTAGCAGCGGCGGTCCCCAAAAGCTGGGCTTGACTGAGCTGCATCCCTGCAAAACAGAGTCATCCGGGTGGGCTCCAGCTTTGGGCCAAATGGGCAGGGATTTAACAGCAGACCCCTGCCCACCCCGCCCACCCCTGCTCACCGGAAAGGGCCATAGAAACAGGAAGCAAACTTGGCACTGTAGCTCATCACTGATACCTATGGGGAGACAATGGGGATCTTGGCTTAGTCGGCCCTTGGCAGGTGTCCCAGGGTGATGTGGCAGGGAAAGAAAGAACCTAGGCTGGGAGGGAGAGTGCCTGTGTTCTGGTCCTGTTGGAGTGCTGGGCTTGATTTCCCCATCAGAGGCCCAGAGGTTGACATGGTTCCTCAAAACCTCATCCAGCACTGTCTTCAGTTCTGTGATTCTTTTTTTTTTTTTTGAGATAGAGTCCCGCTCTGTTGCCCAGGCTGGAGTGCAGTGGCATGATCTCAGTTCACTGCAACCTCCACCTCCTGGGTTCAAGCGATTCTCCTGCCTCAGCCTCCCGAGTAGCTGGGATTATAGGCACCTGCCACCACGCTCAGCTAATTTTTGTGGTTTTAGTAGAGACGGGGTTTCACCATGTTGGCCAGGCTGGTCTTGAACTCCTGACCTCAAGTGATCCACCCGTCACAGCCTCCCAGAGTGCTGGGATTATAGGCGTGAGCCACTGCTCCTGGCAGTTCTGTGATTCTTAGCAGACACGGGGGCAGGGCTGGTGCAGGCTCTCTCCTCCCGACCCCGTGCTGCACTCCCTGCCCTTACCCTGTTGCCAAGTCCATGTGCCATCAGGGCCTCCTTGATGGCTTCCACGCGTCCATCCATCATGTCCGACGGGGCTACCACCTGACATCCTGTGGGGCAGAGGGTGGCCTTCAGAATTCTGGGACCCTCCTAGCCACTCTGCGACCTCCCTGACCCAGAGGTACCCATCCCTGCTGGTGGTTCACTCACCTGCCTTGGCATATGCCAGTGCTACCTCAGCTAGCCGCTGGCGGCTCTCCTCAGCCCGGAATGCTCCATTTTCACTCAGGAGCCCTGCAGGAGAGATGACTGGGTTTTAGGGAGCACTTTGGGCCCTAGCCTGTCCCCACCCTGGTGAGAAGTGGGCAGTGGGAGTGTGGGTGCCAGCAGGGCTGGAGGAAGGGAGCTCACCGCAGTGACCATGGGAGGTGTAGGGACATAGGCAGATGTCACAGGCCACCAGGAGGTTGGGGAAGGTCTTCCTCAACAGATGGATCGCCTCAATAGCTGGGGACTCCTCGGAGTCAGCTGCGGAACCCCGCTCGTCCTAGGCCCAGGGGAGGGACAAAGCAGTGTATCTGTTACATGTTGCTTCGGAAGGCAGGATGGCAGCCATCACAGAGCACAGCCCTGGCCCTCTCCTTCCTTCATCGTCACAGCCCCTGGATAAGGAAGCACAGAGGACTGACCCTACCTGGGTGCTGACTTAAGGGCAGGGACCATGTCCATTTACCTGTGGCCCCAGGGCCAGCATCACGTGGGAGTGAGGAAGCGGTCAGTGTGGACCCTCAGCTCACCCTCGCCCAACCTCCCTTCCTTTTTCTGGTTTGTTTTTTTTGGAGACCGTCTTGCTCTGTTGCCCAGGCTAGAGTGCACTGGCGCGATCTTGGCTCACTGCAGCTTCGTCTTTCTGGGCTCAAGCGATCCTCCCACCTCTCCACCTCCTGAGTAGCTGGGACTACAGGCACACACCACCACACCCAGCTAACTTTTGTATTTTTTTGTAAAGATGGGATTTTGCCATGTTGCCCAGGCTGGTCTCAAAATCCTGGGCTCAAGTGATCCAACCGCTTTGGCCTCCCAAAGTGCTGGGATTATGGGTGTGAGCACAACCTCCCTTCTTAGCCCTTCCTTTGATTCTTCACCTTGGGAACTCTGCTGGGGACGCCAAAGATCAAGACACAGCGTAGGCCCTCTTCCACCAAGGGCCTCAGCATTTCTTCCAGCCGGTTCACACCATACCTGTGTGGGGGTGGGTAGAGGGGTTGAAGGAAGGCAGGTCCCAGGCAAAGGTCCTCTGAACTCCACCACACTGTGCCTCTGTTAGAAACCAAGCTGCATATGGCACCAGGAGGGTTCAAGCCCCCAGGACAGGAAGGGGCAGGGACACATCCACTAAATAGGAGGGAAGACCGAGGCCCTGAGTAGCAGAGCTCTTCTGGAATTCGGCTGTGGAAGGCTCCTCCAAGGCCCTCTTATTGAACTCCCATCTGCAGTTCAGCTCCCTTCTGCAACAGCCTCTGCTGCGACGCCTCTGGTGATGGGTAGCTCATTACTTTACAGGGCTGCCCCTCCCACTATGGAACAGCTCTGGCCCCGGGGAAACCCTTCCCTCTACTGAGCTGATGTCTGCCTGTCCGCATCTTCTACTTCCTAGGTCTGCTTTTACCTTCCGGCACTTCCACCTGTGGAATCTTTCCCTCCACCACCCCCTGGCCCCCCAACTCCATGTCTCCTACCTGGCCACTCCTGGGAGGCTGGCGATAGGCTGTATGTCATCAGGAACATCCCTGCAAGAGTGGGGGTGGGATATGGATTGGTGGCTGTGGGAAGGGCCAGTGGTGAGGGGGCAACTGAGAGGGATGGTTGGGAAGCAGGGAAGAAATATGGGAGTGGAGATGGTGGGAGGAGGGTGGGATCCAGTGTCTGGCTTCCCTGCCTGGTCAAGCCCAGGGCCTGAAATAATAATAGGAACAACAAAAATAACAGTGACAACAGTAGCAACTGTACTAAAAGAATGGTAATTACAGGAAAGAAAGAAGTAGTTAAGAACTTGGACTCTGAATTTGGCAGGTCCTTGCTTCTTATCCCAGCCACTTACTGCCTGGGTGACCGTGGCCAAGTTCTGTCATCTCTTGGAGACTTAGGTCTTCATATCTATCATGCGTGGTTAATTTGTTCATTCAACAAATATTTATTGAGTACTTATTATGTGCCAAGTACTGTTCTAGGCCTTGATGATACAAAAGTGAACAAAATAGACAAACATCCCCGCCCTCAAGGAGCTGATGTTCTAGAGGATAGCTACTCCTTCTTCATACAAATGCTCTCAGAATTGAATGAGATCATGTGTGTAGGTGCTTAGCGTAGTACCTGGTACAGAGTAAGTACTCAGTAAATGTCTGTGTTATTATTAACAATCACGATTGCCATCTCTTACAGGTACATAGCACTTTACAACCTACAGAGCACCTTCTCAGCTTCTGTCTTATTGCAAGAGCTCAGGATGGCAGGCAAGGGTTATTCTTCTAATTTTCCAAATGGGATGAATGAGTTCTTTCAAAGTTTGTTTTGTTCCTAAGATTCCTGTCCTTAATCCAAGTAGGCTGCTTCCAGTACCTTGAATTTCAAGCTGACAGCTCACTTTGCCACCCCTAGCAATACTGATGCCCGCTGCAGTCAATACTCCCTCCCCAACCCCTATCAGCAGAGCAGAGGCCTGGCCCATTCCTGGAGACTCACGTGACAAAGATGGGGTAGATGAGGTTGGAGGCATTGAGGGTGGTGGTGGCTGTCTGCCAGGCCCGAAGCAGTGGGTGGAAGTAGCCGCTGTGCAGAACGGACTGGGGCTGCATGGCATGGGCCAGTGGGCACAGGGGCATCAGTTGGTTGGAACCGAGGGCTCCTGGGGCGTTGTTGGCTGCAGGCTCTGTGGGGCGAGATGGGCAGCACATGAGACATGGTCCCTGTCCTCAGGAGATGGTCACATCTGGAAGACAGCTCTTCCAGATTCCTGCCTCCCCTCTCTCTAGCCTAATGCTACTCATAGCATGGTTCACCAGTCCCTGCTGGTCAACAAGGTAAGTTGAGAAATGAAAGTAAGTCTTTAGAAACTTTCATAATAATCAGAATCTAATGATATAAAATTTGGGCTTGTATTTTATATGACTGCTTTCTGTTCATTATTATCTTTTAAAGTAAACATCTGAGCAAGCAACGACTGTTTTAAAAAAATTCTTTTCTTTTTTTTTTTTTTTCCAGACAGGGTCTCTGTCGCCCAGGCTGGAGTGCAGTGGTACAATCTCGACTCACTGCAGCTCAACTGCTTCTCCCAGCTCAGCCTCCCAAGTAGCTGGGACTACAGGTGTGCACCATAACACCCAGTTAATTTTTGTATTTTTTGTAGAGATGGAGGTCTTGCCATGCTGCCCAGGCTGGTCTCGAACTCCTGGGCTCAAGCAATCTGCCTGCCTTGGCCTCCCAAAGTGCTGGGATTACAGGCGTGAGCCATGGTGCCTGGCCAAAAAAATAATTTTCTAGCTGGGCATGTTGAGAAGCCAACATTTCAACTTTGTTTATTCCACAAAAAATGCCCATGTTCATGGCAGAACTTTTAGAAAAGTGCAGATAAGCAAAAAGAGAAAAATCCCCTGCAATGCTACCTCTAGAAAAAAGTACCATTGGCCAGGCATGGTGGCTCACGCCTGTAATCTCAGCACTTTAGGAGGCTGAGGTGGGCAGATCACTTGAGGTCAGGAAATCGAGACCAGCCTGGCCAACATGGTGAAATCCCACCTCTACTCAAAATACAAAAAAATTCAGCTGGGCGTGGTGGTGCGTGCCTGTAATCCCAGCTACTGGGGAGGCTGAGGCAGCAGAATCACTTGAACCCAGGAGGAGGTTGCAGTGAGCCGAGATCGTGCCACTGCACTCCAGCCTGGGTGACAGATCAAGACTTCATTCAAAAAAAAAAAAAAAAAGAAAGAAAGAAGAGAAAAGTACTGCTAACACCTTGGGACATGGACTTCTTGTTAGGTACAATGCACACCAACAGGAGAAAATAGTACCATTCATGTCAGATAGATGGACAGACACATACATACACTGTATAGAGTGCCACCAAATCTTTTCTAGCCCAAGGAGTTTCCTGGGCTCCACGAGCACAAGTACACCTTCTTGCTTTCCTCACTTTGTCCCTTTACCTGAAAGGCTGTGCTCTCCCCACACCCAAATCTACAGGATTCTCCTTCCCTCTCCCACTGAGGCTTTCTTGTCCAGATTGCAGTCTCTCTTCTATAAGTTATTTGTGGACCTGTCTTATCTCGTGCCAGTAGACACAGCTTCTGCAGGGCAAGGTCCAGAGCTGGTTCATTTTTGCTTCCCCTACAGTGCTCTGTCACACACTGACCTTGGCACACAGTAAATATTTAATTACATGAAGTACAAAAATAAGCCCCAAATGCCAAATTCGTGGATACAAGACAGAAGGAAGCTGGGGCATTAACATTTGTTTCTTGAGCACCTACTGTGTGCCAGACCATGCCTGGCATTTTCACGGGTGATTTCTCATTGAGTGGGTACTGCAGTCCTGTGAGGCAGGGCTGACTGAGTGCATGGAGCCCGACCAGAAGTGAGCCATGGCTCCAGTGGGAGTGAGGAGGTCAGAAGAGGTGTATCAGAAGAAGACAGGGGCCGGGTGTGGTCGCTCACACCTGTAATCCCAGCACTTTGGAGACCAAGGCGGGTGGATCACTTGAGGTCAGGAGTTTGAGACCAGGCTGGCCAATCTGGTGAAACCCTGTCTCTACTAAAAATACAAAAATTAGGCCAGGCACGGTGGCTCACGCCTGTAATTCCAGCACTTTGGGAGGCCAAGGCAGGCGGATCACTTGAGGTCAGGAGTTTGAGACCAGCCTGACCGGCATGGTGAAACCCCATCTCCACTAAAAATTAAAAAAAAATTAGCCGGGTGTGGTGGCGCATGCCTGTAATCCCAGCTACTTCAGAAGCTGAGGCAGGAGAATCGTTTGAACTTGGGAGGCAGAGGTTGCAGTGAGCCGAGATGGCACCATTGCATTCCAGCATGGGCAACAAGAGAGAAACTCCATCTCACAATAAATAAATAAACAGAAATAAAAATAAAAATAAAACAATTAGCTGGGTGTGGTGGCATGCATCTGCAGTCAGAGTCTGGAGGCTGAGGCAGAAGAATCACTTGAACCCAGGAGGCAGAGGTTGCAGTGAGCCGAGAGTGCACCACTGCATTCCAGCCTGGGCGACAGTGCGAGACTCCATCTCAAAAAAAAAAACCAAATGACAGGGGGTTGAACTTGGTTTTGCAGGATGAATGGGTTCAGCCTAGTGCAGAGAAGGGGGCCAACATTTCCTTAGGAAGGGAAGAAAGGGGCAAAGGTGGGGAAGGAGGATGGCTGTGGACTGTTCTGAGGAGCTGAGGAGGCAATCGGGGCAAGTGTGTATGGAGGGGATGGATGAGAGGGGGCCAGGCTGAGGCTGTGGGAAGATTTCTGAACAGTGGGTAGGGTTAGTGGCCTGGTTGACACCTGGCTTTAGGAAGATCAGTCCTGGAGGCTGAGCACAGCAGATGGGAAGCAGAGGAATGCAGAGGCTGGGGGCAGAGAAGAAAGGGGCGTCTTAAGGCAGCCAAGAGGCAATGTCTCAGGGTAGATGCTCTAGGCCTGCCTGCCTGACCTGGAGGGCAGCGGAGACAGGGACAGGGCAGGAAGAGGGCAGTGGGGAGCTGGGCTTGGAGAGGGGGTGGAGAGCTCTGTTTTAGACACTTCCTTTTGGAGGTGCCCGGGAGAATATCCCATAGCCAAAGGATGGGGGGAAAAGAGCCACAAAAATGGGGGCTGGCAGGCCTGAGTCCAACTACACTTTGTATGAATGGGACCTCAAAGTCCAGAGAGGGGCAAGGACTTACCCAAAGCCACACAGCAAGTAAGAGGACTAGAACCCTGGTGTGTTAACTCCCAGGTGAACTGGGAGATCCTTTGGTAGGCTGGAGTCAAGTCAGATGTTGAAGCCAGGTCTAATCCTTCTGATTTGCTTCCCAGAAAACCACCTTTGTAACAGGCCCTTGACTTCTGGAATCCAAAGCTACATTCCCATGGCTTCAACTCCTCATTGCTTTCAGGAGGCCGAGGGAACAACTGCCTCCTGCTTATCAGAAACAATGGGGCAGGGCTGCCTAGGAACCGGCTGTCCTTCTCCCCATAGTCTCTTAGGCCCCTTTGGCTCCCCACAGCCATCTCAGGGGCCCATTTATCCGGTCTTCCTCCTTGGTAGGGTGGGGTTATCACAAGTCACACAGGGGCCAGCCTGCTGCCACACCCCTGGGTGGGCCAGCCTCATCACCTGACACAGGGGCAGGCCAGGCATCCCCAGTCACATCTCAACCTCCAAACAGACAATGATTCAGTAGATAGTCCTGAGTACCCATTTTCTACTTGATTTTGCTCTCATGTCTGCTAGGAGTTTCTTTTTCTTTTCTTTTCTTTTTTTTTTTTTAATTGAGATGGAGTCTGGCTCTGTCACCCAGGCTGGAGTGCAGTGGTTCAATTTTGGCTCACTGCAACCTCCACCCTCTGGGTTCAAGTGATTCTCCTGCCTCCGCCTCCCGAGTAGCTGAGACTTCAGGTATGTGCTACCATACCCAGCTAATTTTTGTAGTTTTAGTACAAACAGGTTTCGCCATGTTGGCCAGGCTGGTCTCAAACTCGTGACTTCAAGTGATCCGCCAGCCTCTGCCTCCCAAAGTGCTGGGATTACAGGTGTGAGCCACCGCACCTGGCTGAGAGACTATTTTTGAATATTGAGAGAATTACCAAAATGTAACCCAGTTGCCCAAGACCACATAGCTACTTAGTGACCGAGCCAGAATTTGAATTTGTTCTGGACTCCAAATGCTGGGTTTTATACACCGTATTCCTTAATACTGATAAACACCTGATTCAGTAGGCATCTCTTTGCCCATACTGTTTCTGCTTTGGGCGCTGGAGAGACAGAATAAACAAAAGGAAAACATACTGAGTGTATTCATTCTGTGTTGGGCACAGCACTAAGGTACTTCGTAGTAGTATCTCATTTCATTGCAAGAATTGTTCTAACTTTTAGCGATAAGGAAATGGAGGCTCTGAGTGGTTTAGTGACTTGCTTAATGCCATTCTAGAGTCTAGTCAGATGTTGAAGAGAGGGCTAATCTCTCTGATTCACTTCCCACAAACAACTTCTGTTGTTTTCTGGCTTCTAGAATCCAAAGCTGCATTCCACTGGCCTCAACTCCTCATCGCCTTTAGGAGCTGAGGGAACTACTGGCTCCTGCTTAGCAGAAACCCTGCGGCAGGGCTGCCTAGGAGCCCCTGAGACCAGGGCAGGGTTAGAGTAAAGGGAACAGTCTCACTATAGCAGTTCACTTTGATCTGTTTTTGAATTTTAAGATTCAGAGAGAGATTTGATTTGAGAAACGGGTGTCAGTGCTGAAAATATTAAAAGCTTGAAAATTGCCAATCCTGTTTAATCCCTTACATTTTAATGTGGTAAATGGGGTATAGAGAGGCAACGGGACTTGTTGGAGATCACAGTGAATGACACACAGAGCTAGAAACTGACCCTGCAGCTCCTGACTTCTATTTCAATGCCCTGATATCTACACCATAGAGTCATTCCATTGTTAAGAGGTGCTTAATAAGTGGAGTTTCCCACTCCACTTGGCAGAGCCAAATGCAGGATGGGTTTTGCTTTGCAAAAAGGCCCTTAGAGTTTGGGAGGATTTCACAGACTGGGAGGGCACTTCTCCCAAATCAAGTGAGCTTGCAAACCACAACTTAAATTCCTGTGACATCATCACACTGAAGACAGGAGCGAGCCACCAGGAGGTCCAGCACCTCTGTCCACCCACATCAGACAGGTTAGCTTTGCTGGGATGCAGAGTATAGGGCGGTGCAGAAAGAACTGTGTTTCAGGGTCAGACAGTCCCAGTTACAAAGGTCTATGCTCTGCTGTGTAATTTTGGGCAAAGTCATTGACCTTTCAGTGTTCGTTTCATAATCTACAAAATAGGCATGATATCTCTAACTTGCAAGGCTGTGGAGATTATTGATAGGGCTGAGGTAGGTGTCTGGCACCAAGTAGCTGCACAGTAAACATGTAGCTAATTTTATTACTATTAGGAGTGGGGCTGGGTTGGAACAAGATGTCCTGGTACAGCTCTGTACCTTCTGCACCACACCAGATGGGAATATGTGCTCAAACCCTTGAGGGCCACAGGGTTTTCCAAGATTTCTGAAGTGGAGTCTCTGCCTTCCAGCAGGTTATGTGGTGAAGGAAAAACAAAATAATCACCATCCAGCTGCCAGAGTAGAGGGGTGGCCCAGGTGCTGTGAAAGGGACTGTGTCTCTGAGTCAAGGGTGGTTTCATGGAAGAGGGGACAGTGAAGGATAATAAGTGTTTCAGATTTAATATGAAAGCATCTCCTTCCATGGAAGGCAACATCCCCAAACTGGGAGTAACTGAAGTTGGGCCCTGAGCGCTGCCACCAGGAGGGGCTGAGACAGAGTTTCATACGCCACCCCCCACCCCCGCATGTTGTACTATGCTGAGGATTCCAGAGGCTGTGGGTCTTGGCACAGATGATTGGGACCTGCTGCCAGCCCTGGCAGGCTCTGCCACTGGTCAGGGAGGAGGCAGTCAGGAGAGCCAGCTAGGTAGAAGGTGGCCAGAACTGAGAAATCCAAAGCCCCACAAAGGCCCAGGAGAGTGGCTGTCAAGCAGTTCTCAAAAGGGACGAAATGTTCATTTGGCCAACCCAAATTTCCTGAATATCTACTATGGGCCTGCTGAAGTGCTAGACACAGGGATTAAAGCGAAGAATGAGAACCCAGCCTTGCCCTGGGGTTTGGAAGAGCCTGACCCTCTCTGGGGTTAGCCATTTGGACGTAGAAGGAGAAGCTGCCATTCCCAGAATCCTAGAATATCTTGGCTAAGAGGCTTCTTAAAGTTTGCTGATTGAAACAAGGGTGAAACAGGGCTCAGAGAGGGGTAGACACAGGCCCAGGATCAAGCCCAGGATCTGTCAGCGGCAGATCTGGGGGAAGGTCTCCAGCAGCCCGGTCCTCAGTGCCTGCCATGACACCTCCATACTTTAAGGATAGATATCAAATCTGTTTCCCAGCATGTTGGGCTTGTGGGGAGCTTTGGGTGAACTGACTCTGGACCTAGTTGCTGTTGGTAGCAGGATGGTTATGTGTGTGGGCTCTGGAGCCTGATAGATGTGGGTACAAATCCTAGTTCTGTAGCTTTCTAGTTGTGTGACCTCAGTTTCTTTGTTTAGTAATGGGGACTTGAACCGACCTCAGTGGGTTGTTGTAAGAAATGAATGGGTCAGGCCGGGCATGGTGGCTCATGCCTATAATCCCAGCACTTTGGGAGGCCGAGGCGGGTGAATCACCTGAGGTTGGAAGTTCGAGACCAGCCTAACCAATAAGGAGAAACGCTGTCTCTACTAAAAATACAAAAATTAGCCGGCATGGTGGCACATGCCTGAAATCCCAGCTACTTGGCAGGCTGAGGCAGGAGAATCGCTTGAACCCGGGAGGCGGAGATTGCAGTGAGCCAAGATCGCGCCTTGCACTCCAGCCTGGGCAACAAGAGGGAAACTCGGTCTCAAAAAAAAAAAAAAAAAAAAAGGGTCAATGCACACAATGCTTAGTACAAAACGGCTGTTAGTGTTTTCACCTCCCTACCCACCCCCCCACCACCAACCACCACCCACACCTTGGGCTCTGCATCGATGGAGTCTGCCCCGGCGGTATCCGAGGGGGTAAACCCCAGAGAAGAGGCGCAGAGCCCCGAACCCGGGCCTCCAACCCCGGCTGCAGTGGGACAATCTAGACCAAACAATCTAGACCAAACGCTCCACGGGACTCCGTACACGGCTGCACCCCCAGGGCTTCAGGCGCACAGCACAATCTGGGGACGCGGGACTCTTGGTGCCACAGTCCCCGCCTCGCCCTGGAGCCGTCCTCCAAGTCCGCCATCTCCCCGCATCCAGCCCCCGCTCACCTGCCTCCCTAAGGCCTCCCTGTCGCTGCGCCTGTCACCGCTGTCTCCCGCTCCCGTCTCCCAGGGACCATGTGGGGGGCGGGGGGGCTCACCCGGAAGCAGCTCCCCCACGGCCCGCCCCCTCCACAATCCAGGCCACGCCCCCTGAAGGCGCTCTTCTGGAGACTCCTCCGCTCCAGCCGCAGCCCCGCCCACACGCACTGCGGCCTGGCCAATTGGGTGTGCCGAGTGCCTGGAGGGCCCGCCCCTCCCAGCTCCAGGTCCTGCGCGACCACGAGGGGGCGCAGGAACCGCGTGGGAGGGTCCCTGGGTGTGAGCCGGCCTCGGAGGCGGTTACAGCCCAGGGTTCACTTCACAGCACTACTTTTCCCAGCCTAGGGCAAACTTGGCTCTGGTTAATGGCTTGGTGAAAGAATAATTGGATGTCAAAGCCGTTAAAACAGCACCATTATGCCTAACACAGTATTAGCTAGTCCATTTTTGCGGACTAAGCTAAAGTTGTTGAGTTCAGCGCCAGACTTCTAAGGTTTCAGAGAAATTTTGTACAAGTGTCATTTATTTCCCAGGGTACGGCAATGCCATGAGTTGAGAGATGTGATGTGAAAGACATGGGCATTTAGGAAAACTCCAAGTCCTGATAGGGGCATCAGACCTACGATAGGTACAATGATAGATCCGACCAAAGGTCTGTATGTGCAGAGGCAGGAGGGATCTGATGAGGCTTATGGGGGCTTGGGTAAACTAGTAGGACTGAATGGGTAAAATAGCGATCGGGGATCATCGCCCTAGCGAAGGAATGTCTTTCAAGTGGTTCTTCAGGGATTATTGAAAAGTTGACTTTGAAATGTAGAGGACACTAGTGGGTCACATTACACTTACTCTCAGATTTTATTTCTCAGCCCGATTCGGTGGCTCATGCCTGTAATCCCAGCACTTTGGAAGGACAAGGCGGGCGGATCTCTTGAGGTCAGGAGTTCGAGACCAGCCTGACCAATATGGTGAAACCCTGTCTCCATTAAAGATACAAAAAATTAGCCGGGCGTGGTGGCAGGCTCCTATAATCCCAGCTACTCGGGAGGCTGAGGCAGGAGAATCGCTTGAACCCGGGAGGCGGAGGTTGTAATGGGCTGAGATCATGCCACTGCATTCCAGCCTGGGTGACAGAGGGAGACTCTGTCTCAAAATTTTTTTTTTTATTTCTCAAAATCTGTACCCCAAACCTGTTGTATACTTTTTATTTTAAATTTAAGGGGCATAGCGGCCTAAGGCTAGGGAAATATGACACTGCTTAGTTTCCAGCTACTAGAGTTCTGATCTGTATTCAACAAGAAAGGGGGTAGAAAGGAAATAAGGTTTGTTGTGCATTAAAGAGTCAGGGACAGTACCATGCATTTTACATTCATTTATCTAATCTTGACAGCAATGATGTTACTGTTCTCACTTTACAGAGTGGGAAAACAATTGCCAGCTAGATTAAATAATTTGCCCTATGTTACATTGGGCTCTCTCTGCGATGTCTGCTAATAACCACGCTCCATAGGGGCAATTATTATTTGTTTTTTCCCAGATTCCCTGCCCAACATTTCTTTCCTGACACCGGTTCCCTCCCTGAGGTTAATAACTAAAAATAATTAGGACCATCTAAGAGCCCAAATAGAATGGGAGATTTTAAAATGTTGCTGTTTGGTGTAACCTATTTCCTTTATGTCTTTTCTTGTTCTTGACTGAAAGACCCGTTCCCACTCTCCCCCCAGCCTCCACCTTTTGAAACATTTTACCTTAATCTTTCAGTATTGTGAATGCAATAATATGAATACATCTTAAACACATTGTTGAGTAAAAGAAGTGAGACACAAAAGAGTATATAATATGATTTCATTTATATTAACTACACAATCAAGCAAAATTAAGCTGTGCTGTTAGGACTCAGAATAGTGATTTCCACTGGAGAGATGGGGAGGATTGAAAGGGAGATTAGGCTGGGTGTGGTGGCTCATGCCTGTAATCCCAGAACTTTAGGAGGCCAAGGCTGGTGGATCGCTTGAGCCCAGGAGTTCAAGACCAGACTTGGCAACATGGTGAAACCATCTCTACAAAAAGTACAAAAATTAGCTGGATGTGGTGGTGGACACCTGTAGTCCCAGCTACTTGGGAGGCTGAGGTGGGAGGATTGGTTGAGCCTGGGAGGTCATGGCTGCAGTGAGCTGTGATCATATCACTGCACTCCAGCCTGGGTGACAGAGCAAGCCTGTCTCAAAAAAAAAAAAAAAAAAAAAGGCAGCGGGGGGAGATTAAAGAGGTTTCTTTGGGTGCAGTTAATGTTTATTGGTCTGGGTGTGAGTTACATGGCTGTGTTTAATTGGTGAAAATTCATTAAGCTCCACACTTATTTGTATCTTTTGGTTTGTATATTATATTTCAATAAAAAAAATTAAAACTAAACTATTGTGTCTCCTAGGTAGGTATATGGCATTGTGCTAAATGCTGTGAAAAGCATAAACAAGGAACAAGAAAGCAAGCAGACTGCTGATTGCCAGGGTCTGAGGACAATGTTTTGAAACTAGATAGAGGTAGCAGTTGCACAACATTGTGAATGTTCTAAATGCCACCGAATTGCTCATTTAAAAACGGTTAATTCTGTTCTTTGAATTTCATCTCAGTCTTAAAACGTGAGTTCACTAGATACAATGTGGTATTCTGGGTTGGCCCCTGTAATCGAAAAATGACGTAAGTAGAGAAACTGTTGAAATACAAAAAGCTTATTTAAAAAAAACCCCAAAAAACCAAAAAACAAAAGAACCCAAAAAACAGAGCAAGGCCAAAGGTCTTTGGAACAGAATCCCAGTTTTCATAAATTCGTGGTAAGGTCTTGAGCAAGTCACTTCTCTCTGAAGAACCTCAATTTCCTATCAGTAAAAATAGGAGGTTAGGCTGTAAAAGTAGCTTTGAATGGGTAGGGATGAGAACCTCCCCCCCCACCCCAAATCCAAATCAGCATCGCTGGGCATGAAGGGCTATGGTTTAAAAGTGTAACATTACCTTAGCCTAGTAAGGAACTTGAAAAGTCCAGATAACCACTATAGTAGTGATAGAAGTGTGGTGGGGGAAAAACTGGTGGGTAATGTCAAAGATTTTTCCCAGTTGTTATATTCTGTAGTTTTTGGTTTTTTTTTTTTCACACAGAGTCTTGCTCTGTCACACAGGCTGGAGTGCAGTGGTGCAGTCTTGGCTCACTGCAACCTCCACTTCCCAGGTTCAAACGATTCTCCTGCTTCAGCCTCCCGAGTAGCTGGGGCTACAGGATACCACGCCCGGCTAATTTTTGTGTTTTTAGTACAGAAGGGGTTCCATTTTGGCCAGGCTGGTCTTGAACTCCTGACCTCGTGATCCACCTGCCTCAGCCTCCCAAAGTGCTGGGATTACAGGTGTGAGCCACCGTGCCTGGCCAAATTCTGTAGTTTTAAAGTAATAGTCCCTATTCTTAGGAAACATGTTTTTCTTAGGTAGTCCAAGTTTGGTGATGAATGGGACAGAATTAACTAAAGCCATATGGAAGAGTTCTTTTGGGGATTCATCGTTGACTAGAGCACACAGCCTTGTTAGAGTGGCCAGTTAAAATTGGTAGCAGGGCGAGCCCTTCTCATGCAGGCTTTGAATAATAGGTTTAAGTATATATTTAATAGGAAACTAGGAGGGTCTGTAACCCAGCAATGCTCCAGGAAGATCCACATGCCAAGTAATCCACAGAGGAAGCTAGGGGAAGAGGAGATGAGGCAGGGGACTGAGCTTAAAGGAAGCCACAGGAGTTGAGCAGTGCTCATGGGAATTAAGAAAGGATGTTTCTACTGTGAAGGAAAAAGCTATTAGATCTAATGAGTATTGGGGGTTGTATCTTTGTGAAATGTTATTTATAAATTTATGATTTGAAAAAGCTATATAGATTTGGCCGGGCACGGTGGCTCACACCTATAATCCCAGCACTTTGGGATTCCGAGCCGGGCAGATCACTTGAGGTCAGGAGTTCACGACCAGCCTGGACAACATGGTGAAATCCTATTCTACTGAAAATACAAAATTCAGCCAGGTGTGGTGGCGCAGGCCTGTAATCGCAGCTATTTGGGAGGCTGAGGCAGGAGAATCTCTTGAACCCAGGAGGCAGAGGTTGCAGTGAGCTGAGATGGCACCACTGCCCTCTAGCCTGGGTGACAGAGCAAACGTCCTTCTTAAAAAAAAAAAAAAAAAGGAACACCTGTAATCCCAGCACTTTGGGAGGCTGAGGCAGGCAGATCACCTGAGATCAGGAGTTCGAGACCAAGACCAACCTGGCCAATGTGGTGAAACCCCGTCTCTACCAAAAATACAAAAAATTAGCTGGATGTGGTGGCCGGTACCTGTAATCCCAGCTACTCGGGAGGCTGAGGCAGGAGAATTGCTTGAACCCGGGAGGCAAAGGCTGCAGTGAGACCAGATTGCACCACTGCACTCCAGCCTGAGTGACAGAGCAAGGCTCTGTCACAAAATAAAATAAAAGAAAAAAGAAAAAGCTGCTTACATAGATAATAAAACACTGTGATTAAGAGATAATAGAGGTAACAGCAGTGCTGCTTCATAGGGTTTAAGAGTTAATACTTAGGGCTGGGTGTGGTGGCTTACGCCTGTAATCCCAGTATTTTGGGAGGCCGGGGCAGGAGGATTGCTTGAGTCCAGGAGTTGGAGACCAGCCTGGGCAACATAGCTAGACCTGTGAAGAGTTCTTGCACCAGCCGGGTGTGGTGGCTCACCCCTGTACTCCCAGCACTTTCAGGCAGGCGAATCACGAGGTCACAAGATTGAGACCATCCTGGCTAACACAGTGAAACCCCATCTCTACTAAAAATACAAAAACAAAATTAGCCAGGCATGGTGGCGGGCGCTTGTAGTCCCAGCTACTTGGGAGGCTGAGGCAGAATGGCGTGAACCCTGGAGGCACAGCTTGCAGTGAGCCAAGATCACGCCACTCCAGCCTGGGAGACAGAGCAAGGATCCATTAAAAAAAAAAAAAAAAGCTTTCAGCAGGTGTGGTGGCTCATGCCTGTAATCCCAGAACTTTGGGAGGCTGAGGCGGGTGGATCACCTGTCAGGAGTTCCAGACCAGCCTAGCCAACATGGTAAAACCCTGTCTCCACTAAAAATATAAAAATTAGCTGGGCGTGGTGGCCGGCGCCTGTAATCCCAGCTACCTGGGAGGCTGAAGCAGAATTGCTTGAACCTGGGAGAAGGAGGTTACAGTGAGCCGAGATAATGCCACTGCACCCCAGGAGGTTACAGTGAGCCGAGATAATGCCACTGCACCCTAGCCTGGGTGACAGATTGAGACTCTGTCTCAAACAAAAAAAAAAAGGAAAAAAAAAAAACACTCTTGCAGTAGTTCAGAGCCCTTGGCTGTGAATGAGCAGCACCTGCTGGTCATCCAAGGCGATGCAGGATCTCATGTTTACAAAGGTTTGGCCAAGTCCACATGCCAAAAACTTTTATGGAGAGTATCATCAGGGGTTCTCTCCAAAAACACACTACGAACAAGCGGCCTGAAACAGGAGGCATCATTTTTTAACAAGACTTTTATTTGTACAAAGCATTACAATCTTCTCAGCATTCTTCACTCACAAACTTTTCACTGTATTTAACAAGTTAACAGTGTCAAACTACGTCACTACCTGTCAAACCCCAAGCGCTCAACTTAGAGAGAAACAAAAAGTGCTTGGAGCACTGAATGGAAACAGAAAAAAACTAAGAAAGGCCAACAGAGATATTTTAGAAGCAGTTAAAGAGGATGGTTTGGGGACAGTTAGATTCCTGAGCACCATCAGATTTCCCTTAAGGTTCAGAGGGGCTTCACAAAATAATTTTTAGAAGACACGAGACAAAATTAGCCAGGCTTGGTGGCACGCATCTGTAGCTCCAGATACTCAGAAGGCTCAGGTGGGAGGATCACCTGAGTCCAGGATTTCAAGGATGCAATGAGCTATGATCATGCCACTGCACTCCAGCCTGGGCCACAGAGAGACCCCATCTCTTAAAAACAAAACAAAACATGAGATAAGAACTAAGGAAACAAGAGATCACAGGAACTCACACTTTGGAGTATTAAGCAGGTAATCAAAGCTTCCAGACTGACAGAAGTGAGAAAAGGAGGGAGAGGAGAAAGTGGGATGGGGGACAGAGGAGAGGCAGAGGAGAGAAAGGAAGCAAGAGGCACAGAGGGAGAAAGCTGTGCCTACAGGAAATAAAGTTCGGAACTCATGAATTGAAGAATGAAAAGCTATAGTCACAAGTCTGGGAGATGGACTTCAAGAAGAGAAAGCCTGGGGTTTTACACCTTCCAGGAGGTGATGACAAATCCTAAAGCTGTATAGTGGCAGAGAGTAAGGTACACCTGACACTATGCCATCTGTTTCTGTAAAAGTAAGACACTGGCACCCTTGCTTGACTAATACCATTCTACACTGCTGATTTAAGAGTATCTGTGATCAGGCCGGGCTCGGTGGCTCAAGCCTGTAATCCCAGCACTTTGGGAGGCCGAGACGGGCGGATCACGAGGTCAAGAGAGCGAGACCATCCTGGATAATACGGTGAAACCCCGTCTCTACTAAAAAAATACAAAAAAAACCTAGCCGCGCAAGGTGGCGGGCGCCTGTAGTCCCAGCTACTTGGGAGGCTGAGGCTGGAGAATGGCGTAAGCCCGGGAGGCGGAGCTTGCAGTGAGCTGAGATCCGGCCACTGCACTCCAGCCTGGGCTACAGAGCGAGACTCCGTCTCAAAAAAAAAAAAAAAAAAAAAGTATCTGTGATCAGATTACCACCACACCAGCAGGTCAATCATCTGCAGGCAATATAGAAAGGTTTTGAGCCAAGCGGGTCTATGAAAAACAAAACCCAGTTAATGCTCCTGTCAAGTGAAAAGACAGATTTTGTTATTCTCCCACAGCATTTTAGTACTTTCCCAAAGCTTACTCATTCTGAGCAGTCTTAGTAAGCTACTGTCAAAGACTGTGCAATCAAACATAGGCTGACCATAAGCAAAGCCCCAATTTTTCCTGAGCCTTGGCTGCTTCTGTGATCTGGAACACAGCAGGCATCATGGAAGTTATTATTACTTATTTGGGGGAAGAGGGAAGACTGCAGATCAAAAACCATCTAACCATACATTTAAGTAACCAAAAGCGATCAAACTGACTAATTTAGCCGCTCAGAATCCCTCTTGTCAAAAAGTCATAATCTTCAGATTGATGAAGGAAAACAGGATCCTGCTACTCAGATGCTTTCAGTTTTGTAAGTGCTGGTTTTGATGATATTTCTAGTCAGTTTTTATTTTGATCTTTTCAGGCACTTTTGCCTGAGACTACTCTGCCCAGCACGGAAAAGCTTCACAGAATCACGTAGCACGTCTCATCTCAAGTGGTACCTTCCAAGGTGCTACAGTCTCCCATCCTATTCAATTGTCTACTTCTTCTTCTTCATTCTGTTCTTCTTCTTCCAGCCTTTCTTCATCTTCGTCATTGTCCTCATCCCTGCTCTTGTCTTGCTCTTCTGAGTCTGTTTTTTTGTCTTTGTCCTTCTTCTTTTGCTCTGAGGCCTCCTTCTTGCCTTTCTGCTCCCGCCTATATGCTGTAAGGAGGAAAGAAGGGGTTAGGAGACAGAGCTGAAAGTGAGCCAGACTGACTGCAGGAGCTAATTACATTGTACAACTGGAAAACAGAGGCAGGTGGGCGCAGTGGCTCACGCCTGTAATCCCAACACTTTGGGAGGCTGAGGCGGGCGGATCACCTGAGGTCAGGAGTTCAAGACCAGTCTGGCCAATATGGTGAAACCCCATCTCTACAAAAATACAAAAATTAGCCGCACGTGGTGGCATGCACCTGTAGTCCCAGCTATTTGGGAGGCGGAGGCAGGATAACTGCTTGAACCCAGGAGGAGGAGACTGCGGTGAGCCGAGATCCCACCACTGCACTCCAGCTTGGGCGACAGAGCAAGACTCCATCTCAAAAAAAAAAAAAACAAGAAAAACAAAACCAAAAAAAAAACAACCCGGAGGCAGAAAAGGAAAAATAACTTGCTCAGCATCACAAAACAGATCCGAGGTAGTGTCCATCGAACTGGGTTGAGTCACATCAAGTGCTGGCTTAGAGGACTTAAAGGGACCCGCGCTGAGAAAGTCTCAGGGACAGATGAACAGGTCACACAGGATGACCATCTACGTGGTTTAGAAGACAGGAGGCTCGTTACCTTCCAGAGCTTCCTTTAATGGGGTAACGAACCGCTGGAACTCCATCTCTTCCATGGCTGAGAGAACATCACTGGCATTCAGCGTCTTGCGCTTTCCTTTCATAGCAAAATTGTTGGCACTGAGGGAAGAGAAAGGCTGTCAGACTCTTGTTTGTAAGGGGTGAGCGGGAAAAGGAGCACCCAGAGGTGGAACCGGAACACCTGCCTCTTACATGCATGGATTTTGGTGTGACACGGATATATCCTTCCCTTCTCTGCACAAAAAAGCTTAAGCAAAGTTATTTTGTTGCGTTACTTTGCTTCAGAACTTGTAGGCTGAGGACTGTGAACCTGTCCCGAACGAGGGAGGACATAATCATTGGAGTTTGTGGGCTCCCGGCCAGGAACTCCCAGCCAGGTATCCCCGCGCCTCCCTTATGCCTCTGCCCCGCTCACCAGGATGTGGCGTACAGCACGAAGACGCTGGCGGCGCGGGAGATGGCGCTCCGGGCCTCCTTGGAGATGTTGACACCGTCCGGGAGCTGCGAGGAGACCAGGGGTGAGCAAAGCTGCCGGTCCAGCACCTGCTTCCCTCCTGCCCGTTCGTCCGCCCCCCCGAGCTGCTCACCGCCTCCTTGATGATCCTGGTGATGACGGCGTTGGGCAGGTTTAGGTCCTCGGGCCTCTCCGCCATTGCCGCCGCCGGGGCTGAGCCTCCCTCTCGCCTCCGCTTCAGGCAGCTACTGCGTCCGGACTTCCCGCGTCGCTACAGTCTGACCCTCCGGAGCTTCCGTCCCGCCCCACGTGGCCCACAGTGTCCCACAGTGCTCCGCGCGCCATAGCCTCCCTCTTCCCCCCCAGCCCCGCCTCCGCCTCAAATACCGGCGCATCCGGATTTTGAAGCCGCAGTGGTTTTGGCCCGCCGAGGCTTCCATCCAATCCCACCCCACCCCGCACGCCCCTCCCCAGGTCCGTTTCTCTGCCTCTCGCCATCGCAGCGTCGGGAACCTTCTCACCAGCTTATTATGGCTCAATGGAGTTTCCGTCCGTTTTCCATGGTGCTCTGCGCCGCTGCTTGGCGACGGTGCAGCCGGGCGTAGCGTGTGGGAGACGGAGGCGTGGCTAACGCGGCTGGGCGGGTCCCTTTAGGACCGGAGGCAGGGTGTGGCCGGCCGGGTCCGTTAATCTCCTCACCGCGCCGCAAGGGGCCGCGTTTTACCACTTCTTTTAGCAACCCTAAGCGGTTTGGAATCCACTTTGCTCTTACGGGACCTCAGCCGGTCGTGATCAGATTCTCCCACTTTTTTTTTTCTTTCCTGGAATGGAGCGGGCAATCTTTTTCCATCTCTACCGAAGTTGATGTTCATTTTTAATCTTTTCGCCCCTCACAGCTTTGTAATAATGGTACTAAAACTGAGTGTTATTTAGATTTTTGTTGTAGTTGTTGTTTGTTTTTAACGTGAACTATTTATGTAGCCCGGGGATAATGTTGGCCATATAGAGATGCGCCTGATTAGGTCTCAGGAGTCTATTCGGGCTGGGCAGGTAACGAAAGGGCGAGAAGCAGCCTCTTCATTGTAAGAAGAATGCAACATTACATTCGCTTTCAAAAACAAACCGTGTTAAAATTGTATTTATTTTTCAGTTAAATTGTTCATCATACCTCTTTTCCAGTTAAAATCATTGTAAGAAGAATGCAACATTACATTCGCTTTCAAAAACAAACCATGTTAAAATTGTATTTATTTTTCAGTTAAATTGTTCATCATACCTCTTTTCCAGTTAAAATCATTCTCAAGGTTTTGCAATGGCGTTTTAAGTTGTTTTTAAGTTATTTTTATATTATGTTTGTGGAAATTCTCACTCCCACTGATTTGTTTGTATGTATGTATGTATGTATGTATGTATGTATTTTTGACAGGATCTCTGTCCCCCAGGCTGGAGTGCAGTGAGGCGGTCTCGGCTCACTGCAGCCTCGACCTCCTGGGCTCAGGTGATCCTCCCACCTCAGCCCCCCTAAATAGCTGGGGCTACAGGTACGTTCCATCACACCCATCTAATTTTTTTGTATTTTTCGTAGAGACAGGGTTTCGCCATGTTGCCCAGGCTGGTCTCGAACTCCAGGGCTCAAGTGATTTGCCCTCGGCCTCGGAAAGTGCTGAGATTACAGGCGTGAGCCCCCGCGCCCGGCCTCCTACTGAGAATTAATGCTGCTTTTTTCCCTTCAAAAGGGAAGTCTCAAGTCGCCATTTAGTTTTCCTGCTTTCGATAGAAGCCTGTTTACAGGGAAATATTTTAAAACAAAAGAGCAAATGCTATGATAAGTGGCAACTGAAAGTGCTTCTATTAGAGACCATAAGGTCTGGTGGGGGAACTCCGCTTAGATAGAACAGACCTGGCTGAAAACGTCAGGGCTGCTCAGCGCTAATCAGTTGCAGTTCAGCTGGAATTGGGCTCAGTATTGTCAAGTATTTTGGTCCCTAAAAGGAATCAGAAATCTGGACACTGTGGGCTATTTCAGTTTTAAAATTGGTTCAAAGTGCCAGCCAGACAAAACAAGTCATAGGCCAGGTGCAATCCTAGGCTGGTAGATCTTTGATCTAAATTATAAACTGGTTAGAACAGGGAGTTTGTTTATTACTGTTCATGTCCGAAGCAGGTCCCCTCACATATTTAGTAATCAATAAATGTGTTGAATAAAAGAAAGAAATGGGCGCTGTCCTTAAAAAGTTCTTAGGGATATGGTAGTAGTTATTGATTGCCTAAAACACCTCTAGAAAGGAAAAGATGATAATATTTATTGAGCACCTCCCATGCGTAAAAGTACATTATCTCATTTAATACTTCTGCAGTCCTACTTAGGGATTCCCCTCCTTCTGCTTATTTTATTTATTTATTATTTTTTTGTAGAGAGGGGGTAACTCATCTTGGCCTACCAAAGTGCTGTGATTACAGACCTGAGACACCAAGTCAGAACCCCTCCCCCTACTTGAGAGAGAGGTGTGAAGTCACTTGTCCAAGGCCATATGGCCAGTAAATGAAAAGCTAATGGCCTCTGATGCAACTAGGAGTGTCTAGTGATTTGCTATTTGAGCAAACACATTCATTGCTGGTGGGTATTTTATCTGCCTGCGTGGGAACTGAAGCACATTGAAAAATGAAACGTGTCTTCCAGGAGTTTGGGCCTTCTGAGACACTTCTGTGACTACTTTGGTCATAATTTGATAATGCTTTTTGGCGATGGTGGCATCTTCTCCCTGATGACTAACAAAGGGGAAAAGGAAAGGATGCAAATATTTATTTGGAACAATATGCCAGGCTTTTAATATTCAGTAACTAATTTTTGTAATGACCCTGTGAAATAAACTTATCCTCATTTTACAGTGAAGTCAACAGGCTCAGACTGGTTAAGTCCCAGGTCACTCAGCTATTAAATAGCCAATTAGGAGACCTGAAGTCATTCTGTTCTCAAACTCTTGCCATTCTACCTCATGCTGAGATATTTTCATACTTGTTTGTTATCCAGTCTTTAACTATTTTGTGGCCATCATTTACCTGTATAGGTTCAACAGAAATATTTTATACTTTGAGTTCAAATTAAGATCTGGACCGTATGGCTAATGTATAATACTCCCTAATTATGTGGTTGTTGATTTTCCAGAGGACTAGAATGCTGCAGGGTTGGCCTTTGGCCTAAACCATTTCTAGGTATGGACTTGCCAGATGAGAGCCAGTGGGATGAAACCACCTGTGGCTTTGCTGTTTGTCAGCACCCACAATGCTGGGCAACTATCCGCCGCATTGAGAGGGGCCATCCTCGAATCCTTGGCTCAACCTGCAAAACTCCCCTGGATGCTGAAGGTGAATTAGGCAGCTTCTGTCCTCTCCCTCACGAGGTCCTTGATGTATTTATGTATGTGACTTCCTTTCTCCAGGCAGCATGTTAACATGTTTTCTTCTGGTCTGCTTTCTCAGATAAACTCCCAGTGCTCACCGTGGTAAACATCTCGGATTCCTGCTTTGCACCTCGTCATCTACCAGAATGTACCGTTACTAAGGCCCGTTCTTTATTGTCTCGGAGTTCAAAGTTTTACTCCAAATTTCATGGCAGGTAAATTATGATGGAATCTTCCTTTAACAGCCTATTGTCTCAAAATTCTGGCTTATGATTTTCCTTATCCATGTAGTATACTTTGAGAAAGCCAGATTAAAAACAAAATACCAATTTGGTTAAAGAAGTGCTGAATAGGCAGTGGGAGACAGAAAGAAACACTTCCTGCTTGTGCTCTAGGAATTGGTTAATTTGGGAGGTATATTGGTTTGGAAGGGCTGTCATAACAAAGTACCACAGACTGGGAGGCTTAAACAACAAAATTATTTTCTTATAATTCTTGAGGCTAGAAGTCCATTATCAAGGTGTTGCCAAGATTGTTTGCTTTTGAGACCACTCTTGGTTTGTAGATGGTAATTTTTTGTTCCCTGTGTCCTTTTTATTTATTTACTTTTTTTGAGCCAGGGTCTTACCCTGTCACACAGGCTGGACTAGAGTAAAATGGTGTGATCATAGCTCACTGCAGCCTCAACTTTCTGGGCTCAAGCGATCCTCCCACTTCAGCCTCCCAAGTAGCTATGACTGCAAGTGTGCATCATCGTGCCTGGTTAATTTTTTTGTTTTTTGCTTTTATTAGAGATGAGGTCTTGCTTTGTTGCCTGGGCTGGTCTTGAACTCCTGCCCTCAAGTGATCCTCCTGCCTTGGCCTCCCAAATTGTTGGGATTACAGGCATGACACACCGTACCGAGCCCCTCTCCCTATGTGTTAACATGGTCTTCCCTCTACACTTCTGTGTCTTAATTTCTTCTTACAAGGACACCAGTCTTACTGGGTTGGGGCCCCCCATGTGACTTCATTTTTACTTTAATAACTTCTTTTTTTTTTTTTTTTTGAGATGGAGTCTTGCTCTGTCACCCAGGCTAGAGTACAGTGGCCTGATCTCAGCTCACTGCAACCTCCGCCTCCCTGCTTCAAGCAATTCCCCTGCCTCAGCCTCCCGAGTAGCTGGGATTACAGGCGCACACCACCACGCCTGGCTAATTTTTTTGTATTTTTAGTAGAGACAGGGTTTCACCATGTTGGCCAGGCTGGTCTCGAACTCCTGTCCTCAGGCAACCCATCCGTCTTGGCCTCCCACAGTGCTGGGATTACAGGCGTGAGCCACTGCGCCTGGCCCTTAATAACTTTTTAAAAAACCATATCTCCAAATACAGTCAAATTCTGAAGTACTAATTGGGATTTTAACAGACGATTTTTGGGAGGACACAATTCAGCCAGTCTTATCAGCATCTGTAGATCAGAAAACTGTCCATATATGCCATCTTTCTTTTTTCTTTCTTTTTTTTTTGAGACGGAGTCTCGCTCTGTCACCCAGTCTGGAGCGTAGTGGCGGGATCTCAGCTCACTGCAAGCTCCGCCTCCCGGGTTTACGCCATTCTCCTGCCTCAGCCTCCCGAGTAGCTGGGACTACAGGTGCCCGCCACCTCGCCCGGCCAGTGTTTTTTGTATTTTTTAGTAGAGACGGGGTTTCATCATGTTAGCCAGGATGGTCTCGATCTCCTGACCTCGTGATCCGCCCGTCTCAGCCTCCCAAAGTGCTGGGATTACAGGCTTGAGCTACCGCGCCCAGCCCTTTTTTTTTTTTTTTTTGAGACAAGAGTCTCACTGTGTCATCCAGGCTGGAGTGCAATGGCATGACCTCTGCCTCCCACATTCAAGCAATTCTCATACCTCAGCCTCCCGAGTATCTGGAATTACAGGCATATACCACCATGCCTGGCTGATTTTTATATTTTTAGTAGAGACGGAGTTTCACCATGTTGTCCACGCTGGTCTCAAACTCCTGACCTCAAGTGATCCACCCGCCTCAGCCTCCCAAAATGCTAGGATTACAGGTGTGAGCCACCATGTCCAACCCTGTCTTTCTATTTCTTTTTTTTTTGTTGGTGGGGAATAGCGTCTTACTTTGTCACCTAGGCTGGAGTACAGTGGCACGAACTTGCTCACTGCAACCTCCACCTCCTGGGTTCGAGTGATTCTCCAGCCTCAGCCTCCTAAGTAGCTGGGACCACAGGCACGCACCACCACACCCAGCTAATTTTTGGATTTTTTTGTATAGATAGGGTTTCGCCATGTTGCCCAGGCTGGTCTTGAACTTGTGAGCTCAAATAAATTGTACACTTAAAAATGGTTAAAATGGTCGATTTGTGTTATGTGTGTATTTACCACAGTAAAAAACTCATATCCTTATATTTTCATATCACTTGCTATTTTTCTTATTTTTTAAAAGACATATTACATGCATGGATGAATGAATAACATAAAGGGGTTATTCTGTAATCCCAGAGTGTTGGGGTTATTCTGTAATCTCAAAGTGTTGGGATTACAGGCGTGAGCCACCATGCCCGGCCCCTGTCTTTCTATAATGATATTTTATTTTTAGATATGAAACTATTTGTAAGCTCCATGCCCGGTATGGATATTTTGTTTTTAGGTATGAAACTATTTGTAACCATCATGCCCAGCCGCTGTCTTTCTATAATAATATTTTATTTTTAGGTGTGAAACTATTTGTAAGCTCCTAAAGGAAAAAGCTGTGGCTTTTTTTTTTCTTTTCTTGAGTCTCCTACAATGTCTATGTACCCAATGAGTGCTTGCTGATACACGAAACTAAGGGACAGGTATCTGTGGAAGGCTTAGACTTAAAAAATTCAAAGACTTTGTTACCTGGAATCAAAGCACCAGTGATGGCTCTTATAGTAATTTCTTTTCTCCTGTTCCATTTAAGTAGCCCCTGATGATTTCTCTTTGGCTAACAATGGTATAGGAAGAGGCATGACTACTTTCATGTTCTCTAGGACTTGAATTTTGGTTAAATAGTGGTGTTTCTCAGTCAGGACCTATGATGTGCTTCACATTCACACTCAGGGACACACTCCACCCCTGCCATGCCCTCCGTGTATAGCGCAGAGCTGTGAGAGAGCTGCCTCCTCTAGTCAGTTCCCTGTTTCCACATCTTCTTCCTTCAGTGTGTCTTGCTTTCTGCTTTACACTCTCTGTCGGAGACCAGTCCCTCATGACATGATGGATGTTTGCAGTGGCTTCTGAACTGGCTTCTCTGCCTTTTCTCCTCGAAGCTATTTTACATATGGCCAACAGATTAATCTTCCAAAAATACTGCTTTGTTCATTTCCTTGCTCGAAAAGCCCCTTTATCAGCACTTTGTTTACTAGAGAACAGACTCAAACCTCCCAACTCTGGACTGATGGCCTCTCTCTTTACTGTCTGGCTTCTCTAATCAGAGTCCTCTCTTCTTGAACACCAACTTTTCCTCTGTGCGAGACTGGTTTTCTGATTGTGCTTTTCTGTCATGCAGTTTCCTTAACTGTAAAGGCCTTCCTCCCTCCTGTCACTTCATTAAGTCCCTGGCCTGGCCTTATCTGGCCTTCCTACTGGACCTCATCTCGCACTTCTCCCTTCCTTGTTGAATAGGCTCAGGCCACACTGCTCTTTCAATTCCTCATCTATGCCACACCTTCCACCCCAGGGCTTATGCCCCTACTGTTTCCCCTGAGTAGAACACTTTTCCTCTTTTTTTTTTTTTTTTTTAAAAAAAAAAAAGAACAAAACACTATTGACATTTTGGACCAGATAATTCTTTGTCCTTTGGGGCTGTCTTGTGCATTATCTGATTTTAGCTACTTCCCTAGCTTCTACCCACTGAATACTAATAGTACCCTGCCTCCAGTAATGACAACCAGAAATGCCTCCAGACATTACCAGATGTCCCCTGGGGGCAAAATTGCCCCCTCGTTGAGATATACTGCCCTAGATCCTTCCAGCTAATTCCTGTCGGTCCTTGAGTTTAAGCTTAAATGTTGCTTTTTCACAGAAGTCTTCCTCGACCAGTCTATTGAAAATTTCCTTACCTCATCATCATTTAACCAAGCATCCTTTTTCTTCAGTTCTTCTGATCTGAAATGATTTTTATTGATTTGTTTGCCGCCTCTCATGAGAATGTCAGTCCCTACAAGAGCAGGGACCGTATGTTTCTTTTGTTGGCTGCTCTGTCTCCTATGTCTTCAATAATGCATGGCATATAGTGGAAACATAATAAGTATTTGTTGACTGAGAGAATATGGTCCTTTTCTTCTGTCAAGGTTGAGTTTTCTCATTTCCCATTAGCCTCTGATATTCTCTCTTCCAAACTACCCCTAGTACTTGGAGTCCCTGACATGCTTATTGATATTTATATGTTTATCTCCTAAGTCCAGCTGGATTTTAGGCCCTTTGAAAGCAGGGGCCATGACATTTGTTTAGTCATTCAATTCACAACTGTATGTTAGTGGGGGCCACTGCGGCGAATGCTGGGGATACAACAGTAACAACATACAGTCTTTACCCTCAAGGGACTTTCAGCCTAGTTGGGGAGGCAAAGAAATAAGCAGGTCGTATGATGAGTGTCATGAGAGGAGTGCTCCCTGGTGTGTGGGAACACCAGAAAGGGTTCCCAAACCAGGGCACTGTCTTCTGTGTAAGTAGCATCTGTGCCTAGACTGGAAGTCTGAGCAGTCTAGTGAAATGGGGGTTGTAGGTGGGAGGTTGGCAGGAAGACATTTCTAAACCATAGGAATAGCATATCCAAAGGCTTGGAGGCAAGAGGAAATTCTATCTGTATCAGGAAAATAGTTCACTGTGCCTAGAACATAGAGCAGGAATGGAAGAGTGGTCAGAGATGAGGCTGGGGAGCTGCAGTAGAAACAGGAAGCAGGTGTCTGTGTCGTGTAGAACTTCATAAAGCAGGCTGAGTGTTAGGTCTTTATCTTTTTATTGTTTTTAAACTCATCTTACTATCATTCCTAAAGGTCGTTTTCATTTACCCCTTGACATTATTCATTCATCCATGTATGTAACATGTCTTTTAACAAATAGGAAAAATAGCAAGTGATTTGAAAATATAAGGATATGAGTTTTTTACTGTGGTAAATATATACATAACAAGAATTGACCATTTTAGCCATTTTTAAGTGTACAATTCATTGGCATTAAGTACATTCACAATGTTGTACATCCATCACCACTATCCATTTCCGAAATTTTTTCATCATGTCAAACAAAAACTGTATCCATTAACGGCAACTCCCCATTCCCTCCTCTTCCCACCCTCTGGTAATCTCTATTCTGTTTTCTGTCTTTATGAACTTTACTGTTCTAAGTACCTCATATAAGTGGAATCACACAACATTTGTCCTTTTGTGTCTGGCTTATTTCACTTAGTATAATGTTTCCAGTGTTGTAGTATATACTGTAGTCCCCCCTTATTTGCAGGAAATGTATTCTCAGACTCCCAGTGGATGCCTGAAACTGTGAATAGTACCAAACCCTATATTTACTATGTTTTTACATATACATACGTGCTTATAGTAAAGTTTAATTTATAAGTTAGGCACACTGAGAGATTAACAACAATAAGATAGAACACTTATAATATACTGTGATAAAAACTCATGGTGTGAATATGGTCTCTTGTGGTCTCTCTCTCTCTCTCTCTCTCAAAATACCTTACTTACAGGTGCTCATCTATTTTCAGACCATAGTTGACTGCGGGTAAGTGAAACCATGAATAAAGGACTACTGTATCAGAATTTCATGACTTTTAAAAGCTGAATGGTATTCTATTGTATGTGTATACTGCATTTTGTTTATTTTATAATAAATTTTTAAATTTTATTTGTTTATTATTTATTTTATATTTTATGTTATTTTATATTTTGAGCATCTATCTCAAAGTACTTAAACTTTTATTGATGGTGATATGACTGTCTCTAGCTGGAGAGAAGAGTAGGCTATGAATTCTGTTTGATGGAACAAATAGTTGTGAAGTGTTTGCAGTGTGCAATGTCTGTTTAGGAGCTGTTCCAGGAAAAACAAACCAAACTTAAAGATATGGTGAGACCCTACACTCGTTTGGTAAGCATAAAGCCCAAGGTTTTCTGTAGATAAGTAGAAGGGTTTCCTCTTAGCACTAACTTTATCATTCCAATAAGTGTTTTGTGTTTCTGTTTTATGTGTGGAACTCATTTTTTAGGCCTCCGAAGGGTTTACCTGACAAAAGTTTGATCAACTGTACTAATAGACTTCCCAAAGTAAGTCACAGATTTTAAAAGGTACTTGCTCAACAATTTTTCTTTACTAGTGGAAATAAACTATTCTGCCTTTATTTGAATTTATTCCTCAGGAGGACTATAATCTGAATAGTAATGTTGATAGTAACCATCTAATATTGGGTCCTTGCTATATGCTAGACTCTGTGCTATCTACATGCCATATTGTTTTCAGAAATCCTAGAAGTCAGTGGGATTGATTTGTATAGGTTTGGTGTAGGTGAGAATTTTCTGTCTCTTTTCTGCATAGAACATGTTAAGCTACTCAGTAAATACTGTCATCTCATAATCAGGGAAACTGGAATGCTGGAATGTCACACCCAAATAGGTCTTAAGGTCATCTAATCTGATAACTTACAAACTGTTCAGCTTATGATCAACAGTAAGAAATAGATTTTACAAAAAAAAAAAAAAAAAAATCGTGGAACAATCCTTACCTAACTATGAGTGATGTACTCTAATATTTTCTGTCCTATTCTGTTTTATTCTATTTCGTTTTTAAACAATATGGTCTGTGATTCAAAAAACTTGATTTTATGACCTATGAATAGTTGGCAATTGCAGTTTGAAGAACACTACAATGGTTTGATAGACCACAGTCTATCTTATATATCTTACAGGTGAGGAAACTCAGTTGGGAAGTGATTTGCTAAAGCATACAGCTAGTTAGGGGTAGAGCTAAATTAGAACTTTAGAAAGAAAAATCCCTCCTACTTAACTATGGTAAAGAGAGATTTACTATTCTTTGCAGTCCTACTGGATGCCTTTTATTTTTTTCATGAGATGCTTCACTTTTCAATATTATGTGTAATGGAGAGTATAAGGAACTGCGATGGTAGATGGCTTTGAATGGACAAATTGACTAATCACTTTACCTCTTTGACTTCTTTAGAACAAGAGGATTAGATTAAATAATAACAACAACAATAATAATGATTATTATTATTTTAAGAGACAGAGTCTTGCTCTGTCACCCAGGCTGGAGTGCAGTGGTATGACCATGGCTCACTGTAGCCTCAAATTCCTGGGTTCAAGCCATCCTCCTGCCTCAGACCCCTGAGTAACTGGGACTGTAGGCACACAGCACCACACTTGGCTAATTAAAAACTTTTTGTAGGAACAAGGTCTCACTATGTTTCCCGGGCTGGTCTCAAACTCCCAGCCTCAAGCAATCCTCCTACCTCGGTCTACCAAAGTGCATGAGTTGTCATGCCTGGCCTAGATTAAATTATTTTAAGTTAATTATTTGGAGAGATAATGTATGAACATGATTTTTAACTTCAAAAAGCATTAAAAGGTTTATAATGAAAAGGAATCTCTCCTATTACTTCCAAGTCCATCAGTTCGTCTTCACAGGGACAACCTTATTTTGAATAGTTTTTTCGTATGTGTATCTTACCAGGAATATGAACTAGGTGATTTACAAGGTTTCCTTGAGCACTAGTGTTCTAGGATCCTAAATAGCTAAATGTGAGAAGAGTTAGCCTTTGACTTTTATATAGATGCCTATAATTGTAGTCAGACTGTAAAACACCTTGCTTCTGTTTCTATCAGTTCTCTTTCTGCTCCCAAGCTGCAGATTGTAATGTCTGCAGGATCTAAGTCTTTGGCGTGGAGTAGGCAGGATAAGTAGTGTTCCTGTAGGCAAGCCCCAGGGCACCCTCATATGGGATTGGATTGTGAGGTGCTAAATGCTACCCTAATGGCACAGGGAAGCAGGGGAGATTATTTGCTTATTAATACTAACTCTTGCAGATACCTATACTGATATGTGATGGAGGAGGCCGGTTTTTTTTTTTTTTGGGGGGGGGGAGAATATTATGAAGATGTCTTGGAGATGGGAAACTTAAAATCATCTTCTGTGCCACCAAACTCTTTGCTTAGCATATCCTTAATCTGATACAGGAGTTTAGCACCTCAAGCCATACATAGGCTTTATATCTTTCTCTTAGCTTCCAGTGTTGAATTTGAATGAGACGCAACTTCCCTGCCCTGAAGATGTTAGAAATATGGTTGTATTGTGGATCCCAGAAGAAACAGAGATACATGGGAGGTGAGTATCATATCTGGAACTCAGAGGCCTTTGACTCTATAAATCTCTGATGTCTTATGCAGGCCTCCTTTTTGTGATCTTCCTTTTAGCCAGCTCATTGCAAGTAGCAGGAGGCCAAGCAGAGAAGGTCGTGGTCTTTTTTATCTGCCTTTTGCTACACTGGAATTTTAACGTAATGCATTTTGAGATTCATGCTGTGGGATTTCTCCATATCAAATTTCACATGGCAGTAAATAGCATACAAGATAAGGCTCAACTTACTTGTAAGGCTTGACTAAGAAATAAATGCTCTCTCTTAGTTTTTCTGGTTAACCACTTGCAACAAGTGAAAAAGTTCTCAGTGAAGCATGTGAATCTCTGATCTCAACCCCAGGGCCTAGTACAGTGTACAAAAGCAATAGCATGTAGGACTTGTGTACAAAACAGAGTGTGACAAAGATCATTTGGTGAAGGCCCAAAGGCTTGCTAATATTGACAACCATCAGGAAAGTGTTTGGTTCTTCTTTCCTGATCCTTGAGGCTTTCAGGTTCTTAAGTGACATTTAGAGATGATGAAACTTAAGAATTTCTTTTTATTTCATTTTGTTTTTCTTTTTAAAAAATAATGCTATGAGTGCTTCTCTCTATATATGTATGCATTTGTGTGTGTGTATATATGGTATAAACAAATGAAACACAACCCTAAGGGTTTATTTCCTTTCATGTGAAAGAAGCTCAGAAGTAGGCAGGCTAGGGCATGTGAGCTTCATGAGATAATCAGAAACCGGGGCTCCTTCTAGCTTTTTGGGCCATCTCCTTAGCCCATGAATTCCAACTTCTAAGGAGTTTCATGGGTGCTTTTAAGGTATAAGTTGGCTACTAGAGCTTCCACTATCATATCCATGTCCCAGGCAAGGAGGAAGAAGACAGAGCAAAAAATACTTCTTACGAAACCTCTCTGTGTCAAGTAGCGAGGATTTGGTGAACCAAATAGATTTGGTCCCTGTCCTGTTGGAGCCTTGTCAGGGCGAGTCAGCCATTACAGACATAACCACACCTACATATATCATTTCTAATTTGGATTCATACTATGAAAGCAGATAACTGGATTGCCTGAGAGATTAATGGGAAACCTAATTTAGATAGGAGGATGGGGGGTCTTTTTAGCAGAAGGTGCTTGGGCAGCAGGTACTGCTGGGCTCCCAACCAGCTATCTTCAAGTACTGATCAAAGATAGGAATCTTTGTGGTCATCATTCACAAATATCCTTGGAGCTTCTGTTTAAGATATCTGGGAATAAGCTGTGCTTATTCTTATTTCAAGTCCAGTTGAGAAGCATGTTTTGTTTTGTTTTGTTTTTCTCCAGCCAGCATGGGAAGAAGAAAAGGAAGAACTTGACAGTGGTGAGTTTGATGTTTTTGTGCAAATCTTTATAATATTGCTATGTAGAGTTTTGTTTTCCTTTCAGGTCTCCTCCACCTTACCCCCATTCTTTCCTGAAATGATCCAAATCTGCTAAAGAAAACCCTTCTTGGCCGGGTGCGGTGGCTCAAGCCTGTAATCCCAGCACTTTGGGAGGCCGAGACGGGCGGATCACGAGGTCAGCAGATCAAGACCAGCCTGGCTAACACGGTGAAACCCCGTCTCTACTAAAAAAAAATACAAAAAACTAGCCAAGTGAGGTGGCGGGTGCCTGTAGTCTCAGCTACTCAGGAGGCTGAGGCAGGAGAATGGCATAGACCCGGGAGGCGGAGCTTGCAGTGAGCTGAGATCCGGCCACTGCACTCCAGCCTGGGTGACAGAGCAAGACTCCGTCTCAAAAAAAAAAAAAAAAAAAAAAAGAAAAGAAAACCCTTCTTTAGGAATAATTAACCAAACCATTCTCTATTCAGAGACTCCTTTTCTCTGTCTCCTCCCTGTAGGGAGATGAAGAGCACCTTGAGATAATAGGAGGAACTGTTGTGTATTCAGGGGAGTTTTTGGTCAATTAAAAACTAATCTCCAATGTGATGAGATAGAATTTCAATGGACTAGGAGTTATAAGACCTGGGCTAATTCTAAGTGTACCATTTATGGGTAAATGTGACCTTGGATAAGTCACTGTAAGACTTCTATGTCCATGAGAGTAGTGTCTTGGTTCATTTTGTTCATTGGTGAATCCCCATCCCTAGCCCTGTGCCTGACACACAATTAGACAATAAATTTTTGTTCAGTTTGTTGAGTGAAGAAATGAATGACCTTTTGGGAAAATGAAACAAAACAACGAATCCCTGTGTGATCAGTATACAACAATAGAGTTGGGAGCTTGAGAGGGAAACGTGAGGTGGCCTTCATCATTTAGAGGAGGCAAGCGTGGCTGGAGTACATGCCAGGGTAGTGTTGAGAGGCAAGAATGTTGATGGAAAGGACTAGGCTCAAAAAGACCGCTTTGGAGAATTCTTTCCATTGTTTCTCTTCCAGAAAAGCAAGTCATTTCTGGGTCTCTCCGAAAATCAGTCCGCAGAAACACGAGTGGGAACTCCAGGGATGACTGTGCCTCCCCCAACCCCAGTGCAATTGTCTAAACAATTCAGTTCAGATTTCCTACCTCTCTGGGCTCAATCCGAAGCATTACCTCAGGATCTACTGAAGGAGTAAGTATCATGTATGTCTGTGGGAGAGCCAGAGCACCTGCTTTTCACTGAAGCTGAGATGGGTCTAAATGGTGTGCTTTTTCTGAGTAGGGCTGGGAGAAAACAATCACCCCAACTTGTTTACTGAACTCTTAGACTTACCAACAGGCAGGGATGACCATCATAACCACCACTATTTATCACACTTACCGTTTGCCCAGCCCTGTGCTAGGCACATCACATGTACTTTCATTTAAATTTCGACTAGGAGGTAGGCACCGTCACTCTCTTCTTTTTATAGGTGAATTATGAATAAGTGGTAGGCAGAATGTGTGGTCTGCAGTGAGATGACCTTTGAATTTTACATTGAAACTTAACTGGCTATGTGAATTTTGGTAATGTATTTAGCCTCTTAAAACTTCATTTTCCTCATTTGCAAAGTGGAAATAATATCTGTTCTCAGGTGTTGTAAGGATTCAGTGTTACAAAGCACATGAGCCTGACATAGAATCAGCGCTGGGTATGTGCAGCCATGATGATCGTAGTTGCATCAGAAAGGTGTTACCGTATGAGCACTTGTTGGTACAGGCCTTTTCAGACCCAAAGTGGAGATTTCTTGGAGCCCTTTACATCTCTTTCTCCTCAGTCATGCTTTCTAGGAAGAGCTGTTGCTGACTGTCTGGCTGTCCTCTGTCCCCTTCAGACTTTTGCCAGATAGAAAGCAAACCATGCCCTGTCTGGAGATGAAGATAAAATTGGCCATGATGAAAAAGAATCTTCCCTTGGAAAGGAACCGACCTGACAGTGCGATTTCTTCTAAAATGTTTCTGTCTATACACCGCCTCACCCTGGAAGTAAGAGCAAGGAAGCAGTAGGGAAGAAGCCTATGTGAAAATTCAAACCCATCTCTCCTCAAATCTGGAAGAGCTGACATTCTATTCCTTATCTCTCTTCTTCCTTTCCACTCTGAACCCAAGCCCCACAGAAGGCTGGGCTCTATGTAGGTAAAAGTCAGTCAAGGGGGAAGTGTTGAGAGAGCAATGTTCTCTATTTCTTTCTTTTTTTTCTTTTCTTTTTTGAGAGACTGGGTCTCACTCTGTCACCCAGGGTGGAGTGCAGTGGTTGATCATGGCTCACTGCAGCCTTGACATTCTGGGATGAAGCCGTCCTCCCACCTCAGCCTCCAGAGTAGCTGGGACTACAGGCATGCACCACCATGGCTGGCTAATTTTTAAGTTTTTGTAGAGACAGGGTCTCACTATGTTGCCTAGGCTGGTTTCGAACTGCTGAGCTCAGGTGATCTGCCCACCTCAGCCTCCCAAAGTGCTGGGATTATAGGCATGAGCCACCGTGCCTGGCCATGTTCTCTGTTTCTTCTGCACTTTGTTCCCCACACCTTTTCCCTTCCTCCGTAGCCCCTGGTACAATGCTGCAAAACACTGGGTTCTTAAAATGTGCTTGTTGACTGGATGAATAAACGCATTTGGGGGATACATTTGGAGAAAAGGAAAGACCTGCAGTAGAGCTTTTCTTTTTCTTTTTTCTTTCTCCAGAGACCCGCACTGCGATATCCTGAACGTTTGAAGAAATTACATAACCTGAAGACAGAAGGTAGATTTGCTGTTGCTGCTGGATCACTAAGCACCATTTTCTGTTAGCCCACATTTCTCATACTTTAACATGGTCCAGTTCAGTTGTATTTGTGGCCACAGTCATACAGGGTCACATGTAGAACTCAGGAAACAATGGTTTCAGGAAGCAGCCCCTCTGACTTGGTCCTTACCAGGGAGAGTCACCATTGTGAAGGAAGGCACAGCAGGCATTCCAGTGGGAGAGAGGGGGCTGTTAGAAGAGGATCAAGCTGGCTCTCTGGTCCCCAGGTTACAGGAAACAGCAGCAGTGGCAACAGCAGCAGCAACAGAGGAAAGTGAAAACACCTATTAAGAAACAGGTAGAGTGGCAGTGAGGGGCTTGCTGGGACTGGGAGAGGTAGCTACAGTCTGGAATGGGAAGGGATGTGTGAAGGGTGGGAGTCTCCTTGTTTTCTATCTGGTTATAGATATAAAGTTCTTGTCTGGTTGTAGATGTTAAATTCCTTCTTTTTGATTTCTTTTGAAAAAGGTTTTCTTTACTTCCAAAAATCCTAATTTGTTCCTCCTGATGTGGATTTCAGGAGGCTAAAAAGAAAGCCAAGAGTGATCCAGGGAGCCAGAGCACTTCACATAAACATCCAGTTACCACTGTTCATGACCCTCTCTATGGTAAGGGGAATATATGCTTGGTTGGGGGTGATAGGATACCTGAGGGGTAGGTATCTGAGGGCTGGAAAAGCTAACCATGCTCTTGTCATTTTGAGACCTGCCTTTGTCAGGCACTCAGAATTTCTTGGAATGCTTCAGTCCCTCTGGTCTCTCATGCACCATCTTTTCTTCAGAAATTTACTAAACAAACAAGCTGGGCCAGATGTCTGCTTCACATGGGGGCTTGAAAGATGACCATGAACATGAATCACAGTCATCTTTTCCTCAGGTTCTACCTTAGAAAAGGCAGAGCACTTTGAGGATCAGGAGACCAGCAAGCCCAGGTTATTGAAGAGAAAACCCTGAGGGCCCATTGTCCAATGAGGCAGGGAGAGCTGGGGCTCCTCACTAGAACCCCAAAAGAGTTCTAAGGAAGCAGAGCTCCAGGGCCCCCTAACTTTCCTGCCACAAGGTAGAGAGTCTCCAGAGCCTCATGGTAAAGTCACACACATTGTCTAGCTCCATCCAGGAGTCAGGGAGACGATTCTCGTCAGGCAGTTCTTTTGCTCCAGTGCTCATGCTGGACACGAGAATGGACATCTCCCCTTTTTGGAGTCCTTATCGTGTCTGAGCTCAGGCATATACTTACCCCTATCCCTCTGAAATTTTTCAACTTGAGTGGAGAATGGGAGGAGGGAAAAAGAATCCCCCCAAATCTTGGAGGATGGTTGTGCCCTTCTCAGACTAGACATTGCTGACTTTAATATGAAAACAACTGTTTAATCATCAGAAAGAGCTTTCCAATCCTGGGGCACTGGGAGGGCTGAGATGAGGTTTCCTGTAGAAGGATGCTGCCCTCTTGCTTTTCTTCCTATCTCACTTAGTTGTCTGATGCCAATGATCTGCTCTAACCTGAAGGTTAGAAGGTTCCTGCCCTTCTCATGGGAGGTGGACAGAATCAGGGCTTGACCCTGGGCAGGAGGTGATGTATCCAAGGTTAGCACTCCATCTAGGGTGACCACTCTGAATTCCATTCTGGTGCCTTTTGTACCCCTTCCCAATGCCTCCAATAGGAGCAGTTTTGCTTGGGTGACTGGGGTGCCCCTGTGAGTCATGTTCTTAGAGCAGTGGCCAGTCCTCACTAAGTTGAGAAAGGCTTTATGGAAGAGATGATTTTTGCATTGGATCTTGAATATGTGTGGGAGTTTTCCTGATATGGAAAATAACTCTTGAGAGGGAATAGCCTGTGCAAAGGCATCTAGGAGGATCATAGCTGCTCAGGAAACACTGAGCAGTTGAGTGTGGTTGTGGGGTTGGGTATTTAAGGGAGAGTGGTCTACCACGCCAAAGAGGTAGGCAGGGGCTTGTGTGGACTGCTGAGTCATTTGACCTTTATCATCCAGGCCAGTGGTGCTCCGCCTTGACTGTACACTAAGACCAATTATGAAGCTTTTATGTATGTATGTATGTATGTATTTATGACGGAGTTTCGCTCTTGTTGCCAAGGCTGGAGTGCTATGTGCGATCTCGGCTCACCACAACCTCCGCCTTCTGGGTCCGGTTTCAAGCGATTCTCCTGCCTCAGCCTCCTGGGTAGCTGGGATTATAGGCATGCACCTCCACGCCTGGCTAAGTTTTTGTATTTTTAGTAGAGATGGAGTTTCTCCATGTTGGTCATGCTGGTCTCGAACTCCCAACCTCAGGTGATCTGCCCACTTCGGCCTCCAAAAGTTTTGGGATTACAGGCATGAGCCACTGCGCCCGGCCAAGAAGTTTTTAAAACTCTAATACTCAGGCTGTATCCCAGCTGTTAAATCAGAATTTCTGGTGGTAGAAACTAGGCCTCAGTGTTTTTTGTTTGTTTGTTTGTTTTTTGAAGCTCTTCAGTTCTCCCAGTGTACAGCTAAGGTGAGAACCAGTGCTAGTAGGGAGTCGATGGAAATGCTATATTTTAGCATAATGCCTCAGGTGGCAGCTTGGAAGATATTTGTTTAGGGAAAGGGAGATTGAGAAAAGAATGAATGAATCTTCTTACGGACTAGTTGGGGAAGCAGCTGATGCAAAAGAAACATAAAACTAGAGGTTTTTGTTTTTGCTTTGTTTGTGGGTGCATGAGGGATGGCACAAGAAGATGAGTCACATTCTGGTAAGATAAGTCACATTCTGTGAAAAGGTAGATTAGGGTTTCTTGGAGGAATCCTGGGTCTTTTAACACACACTTGACCGTAATCTCTAATTGTGTAATAGATAAAGTTACAGTCCCAGGTGAGCAGAATCTCAAATAAAACTCAGAAGGTCTAACTACCTTTTACCTGCCATCAAGGTCATGTCTTTTCCTGGATGTGGAGTCACTTGTAGACTAGGGGTCACCTAGAAACCCCAAAAGAGGATATGATATGCCAATAAGAGGAAGATTGAATTGACTTTTTGGTTACTAGGTTACAGAACTCTGCCAGGTCAGAACAGTGACATGAAGCAGCAGCAGCAGATGGAAAAAGGAACCACCTCGAAACAGGTGACAATGTACCAGGCCTCTACTAGGACCCGGTTTCAGTTATCTATTACTGTGTAACAACCCCAAAGCTTAACCGTAGTGATTTGTTATTTCTAATGATTCTGTGGGTTGACCTGATAGTTCTTCTTCTCCTGCTTGAGGTCACTTAATGCAGCTGGGCTGAGGCTGTTGGCCAAGTTGCTGGTTTTCCTTCCTGAGGCCTCTGCATGTGGTTTATTTGGGCGTTTTGATAGCATAGTAGTCTCATGAAAGCAGTTTCTTAAGGGATGGGCCTGGAACTAAAACATTGTTACTTCTGCCACATTTTCTTGGCCAAAGAAGAAACAAGTCCGTCCCAGAGTAAGTAAGAGAAGAAATAGGCCCTGTCTCTTGATGGGAGGAACAGCATGTGCATACTGGAATGGAAGGAATAGTTGGAAGCCATATTTGGAGGCCATCTGCCCTTAGTTGACTGCAGGAAATGGGAAGGAGTGGTTCTAGGTTCATTTGGATAGCATGGAGGGCAAAGAACGTGTGATACAAGCTTCTCTTCAGTCCCAAGAGGTGGGTCTCTGGCTCATCTTAGATGTTAATTTCTTCAAGAAAAGCATCTTTTAGAAAAATCCTTTTAGTTTCCTAAAGTCTTGATTCAAATTTCCTTATACCCCGATGAATTTCAGGATTCCACAGAGAGACCAAAGATGGACTACTGTGACCATGTGGATTTCCACCACAATGTAAAAAGTAAGTTACTAAAGTAGAGGAACCTTAGTAAGTGACTGAGGATAGGGAGAGTTGAACCTGTGTTGTCCAGGATAGTTTACCTCCCTGAAGGCACAGTTCCCCTATCTCAGACAAGTCCTAAAAAACATCCCAGTTTTTCCTTTTCTGTCCTCCATTTGTCGTAGTTATTTGAGAGGAGTTTACAGGTGCAATTAATGACTACATCTTCTTTTAGGTCCTGAATTGTATGAAGCAGAACCCACTAACAAGGACATTAGTGCTCCGGTGGAAGCTGTGTTAGAAGCCCAGGCTGCCAGGCAAAAGAAGATCTCCTTTAACTTTTCGGAAATCATGGTTAGAACAGGCTGGAACTCTGAGCTCAAACTACTGAGGATTCTTCAGGAGACTGATGATGAGGATGAGGAGAACCAGTACTCTGAGGCAGAGAAGCCTCTGGAGGAATAGACTGAAGGCATCCCCTGGGGCAGCCGTGTTCCAAAGTGGGATGGTTGGTATCCTGAGGGCAGCAACGTTTCACGTAAGGGCAAGAGGAGAGGGGCTTCTGCTCTCTGGAGCCTTTACCAGGGCCTGAGATCTGAGCTTAGGGATTCAGTTTTCTTCATTCACCTCTACTTGCCTCTAAAATAAATGTAGGAGAAAAATCCCCAGCCCTTTTAAATTTAGATTATTTCTCTTGCATTAGGGTCAGTATAATTTTGGTGATTAAACACAACTGCTTCTCAATTAAAAGACTCATTTTCTGTTTCTAGGAGGAAGGGAAAGATGTCTCTTGGTATCTGTTTTCTTGGGTCACTCTTATCTCTGAAGCTCTGAAAGGTTTCCAGTTGGAGGAGGCTGAATTTGGCTCATGGGAGCTGCCATGGTGCTCCCTAGATTTTTCTCTCATTCCCTAGAAATGGTTTCTTTTGGAGATGAGATCTACATTGTTATCAAATAATGTTCATTGTGTCACTGGTCTTAAGCTCCTAGGCTCAAGCAGTCCTCCCTCCTCAGCCTCCCAAAGTGCTGGGATTACAGGCAGGAGCCACTGTGCCCAGCCAAAAGCTCTAGTTTGTTTGTTTCTTTTTTTTTTTTGGATGGAGTTTCATTCTCGTTGCCCAGGCTAGAGTGCGATGGCATGATCTTGGCTCACTGCAACTTCCACCTCCCGAGTTCAAGCGATTCTCCTGCCTCAGCCTCCCGAGTAGCTAGGATTACAGGCATATGCCACCATGCCTGGCTAATTTTGTATTTTTAGTAGAGACGGGGGTTTCTCCATGTTGGTCAGGCTGGTCTCGAACTCCTGACTTCAGGTGGTCCGCCCACCTCAGCCTTCCAAAGGACTGGGATTACAGGCATGAGCCACCACGCCCGGTGAAAAGCTCTAGTTTCTAAGGAACTGAGTCCAGGAAAGTTTCAGTGATGCTCATAAAGGCTCAGAATTTCAGAGTCTCAGGGAATCTCTAACTTGGTTTTGGAGGGTTTTTTTTTTTTCATGTTTTAGTCCTAATGTAAAAATTTCAAAATTATGTAAAAGGAAAAGAGAATAATATAATGAAACTTTGATGTATTCAGTATTTTAGATCTGGGCAAGGAACGCCCTTGGCCCCGTGCTTTAGAAAGTCCTCTGGTGTTCTGGCTGTGCTGCCCCTCATGGCAGAGAAATCTGCAGAGCCAAGTGAATGTATACCTAGCTGGAGTCTGTGACTCCCATTTTAGACTTTGTTCCTGGTATTTGGAACCCTGGAATTCCCTGCCCAGTGGCCTCTTGCCTACTTCCATGGCTTCTGCAGGCCTCTTTTGTGGGTCCATCCTCCCAAGAGTGGACTATCCCTGGGTTCAGGGGGGTAACAGGAGGGTATTTGGAGAGGAATTTGTCCAGAGCTTGAGCAGATGGACTGGCGTATCAGCATTTGTGGCCTTTCCCAGTAAGGATGGGATCATGAGAAGTGAGGGCTGGTTCTTCTAGTGCTGCATGTTAGTGTGGAACTTCAAGGAATCTGTGGATTTTGAATGAACCTGGCTTTCTAGATCATGAAGGTATACTGATCAAGATAGCAAGTTAGAGCATGTTTTATTTAACAATTTGTTAGCTTAATTTATAGTTTTTAAATGTTCAGACATGGTTAGTAGACCTGTTTTTGTACAGTTATCCTGAGTCCTGCAAAACATTAGGACTGCCCAGAGCCATCATTTGGGACAAATTTTAAGGAGGAAGAATTTAACCACACAATATAGAGATCATTAATTTGCAGCCCCATTTTAAAGGTAAGGATAGCAAGGCTCAGAGAGGGGATATGTCTTGACTGAGCTCATGAGCTGGGAAGTGGGGCTGAGCTGGAATCTGGCTCTCCTAGTGCTAGGTCAGAGCTCTTTTCATTATTCCACTCTGCTGTTCTCTCACCTCATTCTCCAGAAACAATGGTAGGTTATTCATCATCATATTTAACCCGAGTCTGACTTCCTCTCCTTCCTGGTGTGCTGTCTGTCTTCCTCTATAATTGATTAATGTGGGTCCCGAGGATGCTGGCTCCATTTTTTTTTTAATCAGGAAAATTGGAAACATACAAAAGTTAATGAGCTCCCATGTGTCCATTACCTAAGAATTATCAATTTATGACCAATCTTGTTTCATATACATACACCCCCATCCTGAACAAGGTTATTTGAAGCAAAGGTCATTTTATCCATAAATATTTCAGCATATACTTCTAAAAGAAAAGTGTTAAAAATAACTACAAAAATTAATCATAGCTGTTTAATATCAAATATCCAGGCAAATTCAAATTTCCCTCTATTACTAATTTCTTTTCACAGTTGATACCATCAAACTAGAATCCATATAAGGTCCATAAATTGTATTTAGTTGATATGCTCAAAAATTTCTTTTTTTTTTTTTTTTTCTTTTTGACACAGGGTCTCACTCTGTTACCCAGGCTGGGGTACAGTGGCACAATCACCGCTCACTGAAGCCTTGACCTCCTGGGCTAAGGTGATCCTCCTGCCCCAAATTGTTGGGACCATAGCCATGCGCCACCACACCTGGCTAATTTTAAAAAGAATTATTTGTAGAGATGGGGTCTTGCCATGTTGCCCAGGCTAGTTTCAAACTCCTGGGCTCCAGTGATCCTCCCATCTTGGCCTCCCAAAGTGCTGGGATTACAGGTGGGAGCCACCTGGCCCCTAAAATCCTTTAATCTATAGGTCCCACTTTCTCCTTTTTCCTTTTTCTTTCCTTGCAATTTATTTGCTGAAGAAACTGGGTTGTTTGGTCTGTAGATTCCTACATTCTTGATTTTGCCAGTTGTATCCTCATGGTGTGAACACATTTCTTCATTCTCTTTATTTCCTGCAAACTGTTAGATCCAGAGGCTTGAACTGCTTCACGAGGTTTTTTTTTTTTTTTTTTTTGGCAAGAAAATTTCATAGGTGGCATTGTGTTCTTCCATCAGGAGGCCCATAATGTCTGGGTGTCTCTTCTCTGGTCTTAGCGGCCAATAATAATCTTTGCCTGATTTTTGCATGTTGATCGTGTATCCCACAACATTACTTACCTTGTTATTTAGTTTTGGTAGTTTTTTATTGGATTTCTTATTATTTTCTTTCTCTTTTTTGGAGTGTTTTGCCTTTATTGATAGTGTTGTTGGGGACAGAGGAAACATTTCTCTCTTATTGCTAGGAGACATCTATAGCAAAGGACAGATTAGCAAGAGAAAAACATACACATTTATTTAATATAAGTTTTACATGACACGGGAGCCTCCCTGTTGAAGACAAAGAAACAGGGAAACCTGGGTATTTTTATGCTGTTTGATGAAGAGTAGACAGTTGTGGAGAAATGTGATTGGAGGACAAAAGAGTATGATCTAATGGTAATAAACTGGGGGAACTTAGCAAGGCCTGTTTGTGCAGATTCTTCTTTGTGTCCCTTGTGTCTTCAGAGCTAAGGATATTCTTTTCCTTTGGGTATAGGGAGGGTCCCTCTCAAAATGAGAAACTTGTTTTGGGGAGAGGAGGGAATGATGAGAGTGACCTTCCTGGTTCTGCTGTGTTTTCAAACGGCAAGGTGCCATATTTTGGGGTTGCATGTCCTAAACCCCATCATTGTCCTCTTCCAAATTCATCCCTAACATGTCAAGGTGACTTTAGGGTGGTCACATGGTCCTGAGGCTTCCACTTCATGAATGAAGTGTGTTTTTCTAATGGGATGCTCCTGCAGGCAAAGTGGAGAAAGATGCCTTCTGACATGCAGCCCAACTCGTTTTTGGCTTATCATTCCTTTCATCTAGCAGGAGCTAATACTGCACCTGCCCAATTGCTGGTTTGTTATACTACAAAGGATACGGATGAAGAGATGTGTAGGTCGAGAGGTATGAGGAAAGGGGCTTCCATGCTTTCCCTGGCGAGCCACCCTTCAGGAATCTCCATGTGTTCAGCTATCTGGAAGCTCTTCTTAGGATTTTCTATATACAAGATTATATCATCTGCATATAGAGATGTTTTGTTTCTTTCCTTTTAATCTTCCCACTGCTTCTAATTTCTTTTTCTTGCTTAATTGTCCTGGTTAGAACCTCTAGTACAATGTTGAATGGAAATGAAGAAATTGAACATCAACATTTATTTTTGATCTTGGGGCAAAGCATTCAGTCTTTCACCATTAAGTATGATGTTCATTTTTGAGTTTTTCATGGCTTCCCTTTATTATATTCGTTCCCTCTTTCTTCTTTCTTTTCTTTCTTTTACAGACTGTGTTGCTAGGCAGGAGTGCAGTGGCACCATCACGCGGCTCACTGCAGCCTTGAACTCCCAGGGCTCAAGTCATCCTCCAGCTCAGCCTCCTGAGTAGCTGGGTCTACAGGTGTGTGCCACCATGCCTGGCTACTTTGTTGTATTTTTTGTAGAGATGGGGTCTCACTTTGTTGCCCAGGCTGGTCTTGAACTCCTGGGCTCATGCTCCTATTGCCTTGACTTCCCAAAGTGTTGGGATTACAGAGTGTGAGCCACCACGCCTGGCACTACTTTCTCTCTCTCTCTCTCTCTCTCTCTTTGAGACAGAGGTCTCACTCTGTTTCCCAGGCTGCAGTACAGTGGCACAGTGCCCAAGCTCCTGCTTGCAGCCTCGACCTCCTGGGCTGGTGATCCTCCCTCCTCAGCTAGGACCACAGGTGCACCATGCCGGGCTAATTTTTAATTTTTATTTTGGTAGAGACAAAGGTCTTGCGGTGTTGCCAAAGTCCTGGGCTGAAGTGATCCTCCTGTCTCAGCCTCCCAGACTGTTGGGATTATAGGTGTGAGCTATGGTATACCCAGCCACAGCAGGACCCTTTTTGCCCTAGTTTGTTGAGTGCTTGTGTGTTTTTGTTTTTGTGTGTATTTGTTTTAATCATGAAAAGGCGTAGGATTTTGCTTAGTGCTTTTCTCTGCATCTATTGTGATCATGTATTTTTGGTTTTCTTCTATTGAGATGGTGTATTACATTAATTGAATTTTGAATGTAAGCCAATCTGTGTTCTAGGATAAATCTACTTGATCATGTTTGTCTAGTTATTTTTATATGTTGTTAGATTCAGTTTGCTGGGGATTTTTTTTGCATCCATGTCATAAGAATGTTATGGTCTTCTTATGATGTCTTTGGTTTGCTGATCACGAGGACCAAAAAACTTTCCCTGGGCGAGCCACCCTTCAGGAATCTCCATGTGTTCAGCTATCTGGAAGCTCTTCTTAGGATTTTCTATATACAAGATT